TCAAGAATATATGGCTAAAGGAAGTAATAGATAGTATTACTATATATACCAGAGTATTCTAGGTCTTACTTCTACTAGAGAATAAGATATCGATTAATCTAAGTCTTCACCTAGACTACTGTTCTACGCTTGAACCTACCTTGTGAAGAAGATGCCTAGTCTTTACGACGTAACTACGACCAGACACTACGAACGACAGTTACTGCTCTTTAGTTAAAATCCTCTCCTTATTTTAAACTAAAACCTCGACGCCAGTCCCCTATCGTCCGCTATAACTATAAAGGACCGGAAGCTGTTATAACATTAATACTAAGCCTCTATCTTCGAGTTCCTCTTCCCCTTAATCTTCGATATTATCTTCCGGCTTATCGACGTCGTCGTTATCGTTAAGAATAGGTATAGGTGCGGTGGGTTCCTAGCTAGATAGATAGTATCCCGATAAATATAATAATATGTTAGATTCTAGATCTTTATCCTTATGTTCACTAACCCTTATATAATCCAGGATTCTTTTAATAGTATTAAGAGCGTTAGTGCCTACTAGATTAATAATATCGGTATAACCTAACGAAGAACGATTATCGATATCTATATTACTGGAACTAGTATCTATTTCTATAGGAACGCTTTAGTTACCCCCTATACCGAAGTTATTATCGTTTAACTAGTCGATAGTCTCGCTATTCTTATTAGCACGAGTATCTCTAAGTGGTTAACGGTAACGGTAACGGGTATAATAAGCACCCGAGACTTCTTTATTAAGCGGCACTAGATCTTCTTCCTTAGGGAGCGTGTATAGTAAAAATCGCTATACTTATCGTGCTATACCAGCTATATCGGCGGGCGGTAGCCGAGGCAGAATATTTCTCCTACCTAAGGGATATATCTTAACTGAAAAAGATAGTCTTAAAGGATTAAAACTAAAGTTATTCCTACCTAGATCTATTATACGCTTATGAATTCACCGGACTAGCCTTAGCTAAGCTATATATTACTAAGTAATAGCCGATGCATAGTATATATAGAACGCGTGATATTATAAATCACGCGCCGTTACTTTAAAGTTATACCTGTCTTAATATTTACGTTATAGGGTATTCCTTCTATCCTAACCGTTATAGAAATATAAGTTTACTATACTTTATATAGCGGGCTAATTCTAAACCTAGAACCTATATTCTCCACTTTCTTCTACCTTACTATTTACTAAGTCTGCGTCCTTAATTCCTGTTACCTATAGGTAGTGAGTTTAAAGTTATATAACGGCTGTATTTTACTATCCTAGGTAATTCCCTGTTTATCTAATTATCTATCACACTATTATACTATCGCAGCTAAAATAACAGGAACGCCGCGCCTAGTTCTAAGACCCAGACCGCGTCCTAGCCCTAATCTAAACCCGTAGTATAAAATCATTAAACCTCCTAGGTCTAACTAATAGCAACGGTCTAGCCAGAGTTAAGGTCAGAATCAGTACTAGGCTAGACGATATCGTACAAGTAACTCTTAACTAATTCACTAACCTAAAACTATATATACTATTAACGCTTATAGATTTCACTAAGAAAAGACGCCTATCGATCTAAACCTCGGTAATAGTTATAGCGAAGATAATTAAGATATCTTTAATAGTAACGATAACTAAGGCTTAAATAACAGGGTTAAAAGTGACGATAGAGAGTCTAAACTGGATAGTAACACCGAGTCTCTACCCGATAATTAAAAATCTAAGCGCCGTATTACCGAAGAGAAAGAATTAACTATATTTATTCAGAAGAATATTATAAGTTATATACTATAGTCCCCTTATCCCTGCCTTAATACTTATATAGCGATACTAATACTAACTTTTACTAAGCCGCTAAATACTAGTAAACCCCCTTATCGTTATACTACGGGCTCTTAACGGTATTTCACGAAAAAGAGTAGTAACTAGACTAAGAAACTACGTCCTTATTTCCGAAGCCTAGAGAAAACGACTAGGAAGGTGTTTCTTATAACTCTTAATAAGTCCTGGATAATAAGCACCGTGGACCTATATTTTTCGCTTTATACCGATCCAGGTAAGGAATAGGTTTAAGAACTTACGCGAAAACGCTTCCAGACTAACTATAATATCTAGAAGTCGCGTATAATACGGAGACTTAAAGTAAGTATTATTAATTCTGTATTTAATATCGTTAACTAATAAAAATTCCGTATATTTTAGGAATATATTATACTTCTAGGTAAAGAGATTAAGCTTTACTTTAGCGAGGAGAAAGATATCGACCGTTTATAAGATTTTCTTAATCGGTCGTATAACACGGATACATTCGAAGTCCTTTTCATCTTTTACCGGGGCTAGCTTAGGATCGTATCGAGTTATATCTAAGTATAACGCTAGTACTACTATAAGTTAGGACCCTTAACCCTTTACGAATAGTATTACGAGTTTACTAAACTACTTAAAGATATTTATATCGAGCTATACCTAGTAATGAAACGGCACCTAATATAGAAGGAAAGTTACTTATCTAGTACCGTAATAGGACCTAGACTTACCTAGAGATAGTGTTTAGCCCGGTTTAACCTCCTACGCTCTACCGAGGTTAGTTAGGAATATACCTTTATAGATATCACTCTGATCTAATCTGTAAAGAGGGTAACCTAGCCTAGACTAGTGATCGATAATAAAGAGTTCCTTAGTCCGGATAACGATATCTATACCTTCCGACTAAAGGATCAAGACTTCGCCGCCTATTTATTGATTTTACTACCCGATATACCGCCTAATAGTCCTAACAGAAATAATAATACACCGTAGGACTAGGACCACGGTAATACGAATACTAATATTCCGAATAATAGACACTGATATCTACTTTTCTTATAGTTTATAAAAGGTCGGCGCTAGGAAACTCGGATATAACGGTTAGCAGTTAACTTAGTGTTTCTATAAGATAGGCAAAGGTTATAGTATATATTTTTTTTCGGTTTAAATACTTACGGATTATTATATTTTTATAATTACTTTATTAAGGGAAAACGGGCCAGGAAGAGAGGCAAGGCGTTTAGTTAGTTAGGTATAGTACCAGGTAAGGTAAGTATTTAGATACTCTACTTATTTCTCGTAGATAATAATTAGATTACTTTTAAGTTCTAACTTTTAGTCTTACTTAGCTATTACCTTCCTTTTTATTACCGTATAGAGAAAGTAATTATCTACTATCTCTCTTTCTCTTTACCTATACCGTCGCTTTAGAAGCAATCTTTCCTCTACTAACTAATCTTACCTGCCTCTAATACTTCTAGAGTTATTTTCTTAACTTTCCCTTCTACTTATTTAAAGGCTTAATCTTCCTGGTTTATTCTAAGATACCTCCTAGTCTTCTCCTCTATAAGATCTTACTATAGTCTATAAGCTCTAAGATCTTCTTCATATTATATACTCCGAGCGCTAGCTAATTATTACGGCAGAGTATCTTCTATATTACTAGTATTAAGATTATCGAGACGGTAAGTATAGTATATATTCTATCCACTAAGGTACCTTAGACGGCAGCTTTATTTACTAATACCTATTAGGCTATCTAGGAGAAAGGAAGTATTATTATAGCTCTACCTAAGTCGTAGGCTATCGGCTACCGCTACTTTACGGAGACCCTTCGTGAAAATAGCACCGAACCCCCCATTACCGACCTCTATCTAGTAGCCGTTATCCCCTACGGTAGTGAAAAATATCTTAGTCGTAAGATATAGTAGAAGATTACCGAGTTCGCTAGTAAGAGCGAATTTAATACTAATTCTGTAAAGGTATAGCGAGAAGTCGCCTATAGCGCTAGCTTAAACACCCCTGGCTATTAGATACTAGAAGTTCGTAAATAACTTATTACCGTTAGTATGACGAAGATAAAGACGAATAAAAAGGGTTATAATCCTTATACCTCGGGTAAGCGAGCCTTAATTAATACGAATAAGGTTACTAAGTCTACGGGTAGAGCTAGGACTCTAGGAATTACGACTACGTCCCCGATTATTCACTAAAAGGTTTAGGAGACCTATAGCGGCTTCTCTCGCCTCCCTAATAATAGTGAAAATAAGGATAAGCGTTATAAAGAAGAATATCACGGAGATAGCGGCCACGAGAATATCGGCCACGAGAATATCGGCTATAGGAACGTTGGCTATAAGAACGCCGGCTATAAGAACGCTAAGGTTAGTAAGGATAACGATAGGAATAAGTTAGTTAAATACCTTAGGGCTCTCTCGGGTTATGGATTATACTAGAGGGACGGTAGGTAAGGTAGGTAACGGTCATAACAGGCAAGGACTTCACTACCTTAGGTACGGGAATAGAATTATTCATGGACGTGGGATAAATATTATAACTAACTCGTTATTTAATAAAAGTAAATAACTTACCTCCTCGCTATATTAACTGACTGTAGATAGACTATAAAGCGTTAATATCAGAAAAGGATAATATATATTCTGCTAGTTATCTTTTACTAATAAGGATAGGTAACTACTAAAATAACTTAATATCTAGGAAGATTTTATTATCTAAATAGATAACTGTTCTCGTAGCAGTGATAATTACTTTAGTCGTTAAATTAGTTCGTAGAATAACTTACTATTTCACCACTATAACTAGCCTTATCGGGATACCTGAATAATATAGCGGTTACCTGGTTATAATGCTTTACCCGATAGGAAACTATACCGTATTAATAGCATATATAACCAAAGTAACTAGTATATATATATTATGCATCTACCACTTTTACTAGCCTTATCGAGTGACTAAGCAGCCATAATATCAACACTGTGTATACATTATATTATCCTAGCCACTCTGTTAACACTATGTGGACAGATTCACCTATAACCAGGCTCTGACCTACACCCCCCCCCCCTCCCGGGTAGGTAGGTACCGTAAGGTACGCAGTACCTGGTAGGCTCTAATCAGGGCGAGTTTCTCTGTCCCACCTCTGACCTACTCGCGAAACCGCTGCCTGTCACCGCGCCAGGACTTCGTTCCCTTTCCATCCGTGGACATCCTTTCCTGTATCCGTAGTTAGCTTTAAGAAACAAGTCGGATACCAGCCAGTGCCGGATGGTTGACCCAGTGTAGTTCAATATCGTCCTGTTGTCGTTGGTTTCCGTGCTTCCTGTACATATAACGCATATCTGCAGTGGTTGATGCATGGTAGGTACCTACCTTATTTCTGTACCCTGCATGATACGGGACCTGCAGTCACGGCATTGCATTGCTTGACAACTGTCACATGGGTTTGAGTGACCTGGAGCCCCCCCCCCTCGCTGACCTCACTCCTGGACCGCCCTGCCCCTGAAAGGCAATATCAAACCCAACTACGACCTATGAAGGGCAGTCTACTGTTTTATTTCATTGGCGATAAATTGGAGCTACCAGGTAACCCGCCAAACCAAATATTGGAGAAACTTCAGGAACCACACCTCATGCACTAACTCCGTAACTGTACTTCGCCATTACGCTCTGTCCTATAGCCCTTCTGCGCGACACGACATAACCACGTCGACTCCATTCCAGACACGAGGACTAGAGAAGAAGGGGCAGAGAGACAACGGTGAGAGAATTGGGTGAGTTAAAGCCCGGGCACGACGCATATCAAGACTGTCCACAGCTCCCAGAGTGTCAGATCCAGAATAACCAGTACATGAATTTCAACATCTATCAGATCGGATATGATCTGCATGCATCCCCCGCCCCCGGCAAACGAAGTAGCTTTAGGTCCCACGGGATAAGATGTAGAATGTAAACACATATAGACTGTACCCGATGTCCACCGCCTACACAGAGAGTGTTTGTGGACTACTTTTGACATTCGTTCACCAGGACTACCCAGTACCGCGCGAACAGGGTTTTAGGTCACCCTCTACATTGCCGGGAGGGAACGGTACTGTCGATTGAGTTCGGAGGGTTGATTAATTTATTACTGGACCGGTCGATCTACGACATACGTGCAACACTAATCACCTCGTTGGGACCCGTCGGCCGCTCAGATTGGTATTGGGCGGTTGTTGGGCACCTACACACATAGGGCTCCGTTAATGCCAAGGTAGAGATGGTGGTCGAGGACCAACATCGGTTCCCCGCTTCTCTCTCTCCCCCAAAAGTCCCATTTCCCGCCCTTAATCGCACACCGGATACCCGTAACCACTATTATAGAGGCGGTGTATGTATCGCTTCTGCCCTTCGTGATAAGTGTTACCCATCTTGTAGGCATGTCATGCAATTCCCATTCCCGGTTTTCATCACGAGGCCGAAGCCAGGCTGGTTATCAGGAACCAGCTCCGTACACTAGCCGATAGGGGATAGAGAGCCACTACAGGGGTTCACCTCGGTGGATCTCTCGGTACACCCTACCCATTACCTTAGGGAGGGGGGGAGAGCGTTGAATCAAGCAGACTGGTAAGGTAGCCCAGAATGGTAAATCGCAGTAATCTGCAAGAACGCCGTGCAAGTCGGTGAGCCAATGGCCTAGGAAGCGGGGAGAGTATAGCTGGGAATCAACCGACCTGCACATAATCACAGGGCATAGAGTATGTAACTTGAGGTACCTTATATGGAGAGGAGGGATAGGTAGGATACTTCTGATTAGGTACCTTTACTCCACCTAACTTGGCGGGCAGACTAGCAGCTGCACCCAAGTTTTGATAGGTTCTTGCACGGATCCCCGGTGCAGATCCAAAGACCAACCGTCCGGTCGCTGGTTCAGCTGGACCAATCTTAGCTGTTTGAGCTCTCCTCCGAGGGAGTCGGGACGCCCGTGTCCTCGAACGCTTCGATCGGCATGATGCAGTCAGTGCACGCAAGACCAAAAGTGCCCTGTTCCTCGTCAATCTTGCCCGGGATGACCCACGATGTTGTGATGGTTAGGATTGGGGAACGGCCTATGATGTATCGACCGCTAGGATCTTCTTCCCTTCTGGCAACAAGAAATGAATGAATTTAGGAGAGGGAAAGCCAAGGAGGGATCCATACGCGAAACAGTGGAAAATACCTAATCATAATCATAGGTAGCGAACATCGATTCGAGAAACGACAAACAACGGCGTCCCCCTTGTTTCGTCTCGAATTGACTTGTCATCCCGACCGTGCCCTTTCAGATATAGCGTAACCGGAACCGTCCAAAAATACGGTCAAAATTTGAAGGGTAAATTGATGGAGGTAATTGTGTTCCTCTATGCTGGAGGACCGTCAGGGAACTGCTGCCACACAGTTCTGCAGGTAACATAACGGTACACAATTATCTCAATCAATTAACGATCTCAACCCCCTTAATTTTGACCCTATTTTGACGGTTCCAGCTACGCTGTATCTGACATGGTTTGCGTGTCTCACTTTTTCTGGGGGTGTTTTTTCTCTCCTTTTCTCTCTTTTTCTTTCTTTGTTTAAATGTTTTTTTTTTAACCTGGCTCCCCACCCTCGGCAAGGTCTCCCGTCTCCAACTCCCTCTACGGCGCTTGACCCTGAACCAGTCCGCTAACCTCCCCGACGGTCGTCCATACCCACGGAATTTCGGTTTCTTATCGTTCCGCCGTTTTCATCAGCAAACGGAAGTCTGACTCGACTGACCATATTGCATCGTCCCCTGTTTCTGTCTCATGGTACCTATTTCCCTTGGGCAGACAGCGGTGCCCCACACCGCTGTACGGTTTACCCCGACGCGCAACAGTTAAACTGTTTCTTCCCCCCACTCGGTTTGGAGGCGGTTTGTTTCTCTTCCACGCCCGATTCCGCGTTTGTCTAAGCTGACCCAAAGGCTCCGCAAGGTACCGTACCGCGCCAACAAGTTACGAAGTACATACTTGCTTAGGTTAAACGCATGGTGTAGCCGTAAAGTTGTGACCAGTCAACAAAAACCAAGTCCCGGGGTGCTTGCACCTTGTCCACCCATGCAACAGATCCGTTGTCAAACTTCCCACAACTGTCCGTCCCGCTCCTGGGACCTTGACCTTGACCCTGGGCGTAGCGTAGCTCACGGTCCCTCTCCGCTCACATGGACTGCCTCATACCATTGATGCGGTGACAATCAGGATGGATAAGTATAAGTATCGCCCATGACCTCCTCCACCGAGTTAAGCATCGCCTCTCACAACCGAAACCCACATCGCCAGTTCGTTCGCAACATAATACACCAACAACCGACAGCCCTACTCTGTCATATCGGGTCACCCACCTGGTCACTTCCCGCCCGCCCTTCTCTTGTCGGCCTATCTTCGCCAACGCACAAATCAGACGAGGTACCACCGGTAGTATTTATTTACCGACACGAAAACTACTTCGACATGGCTTGCCCCAATTCTCCACAGTATTATGACTTGAGGAGGGAAGAAGTCTCCAGGAACTATCAGACAAATACTTCTACCATCACACCAGTATGATCGATCACCTTTACCATGCTTCTCTGACTTCTATCCTGAGCTGGGTCTGACACTATTTCACAGCAACTACTACCTGGTATTAAGTGTCCAACCTGCAAACAATCAGGGAAGGAGGTTTGGGTGCTCCCTGGCAAGGAATGCGGCTACTGCGGCACCCCTTGCGGCTAGACAGAGAAACCAGTCGTCAACGTCATTTCACAATTCCGCCCCGAATAATCCGAGGAAACGATATATGCTTTTCTCTCACGAGAAACAAGAAAAGGGACGACAAGGATATCAGGAACAAGACGCGGATTGAGACACGGATTGAGAGCTGCGGTCAGCAGGCATTTGACCGGTCATTGGTCGCCTTTAAGGGGATAGACAAAAACTGGGGTTGTCTGAAAAAAAAATGGAGGGGTAAATCGGCGACCATATTTTGGAGTTGGAATTTTGGGTTTGGGGTTCGTGCGCACGGGAAAATGTGAAGAGCCATTGGTCTGATTTGGATGAGCATTGAAGGAGCAACGGGCTATTCCGGTTTTTTTTCTTTCCTTTTTTTTCTGCTTCTTGTTCTTGTTGGCTTGGAAAGAGCTGAACTGTAATTTTAAATAGGACCAAACAAGGTGAATGTAATACTCTTGAAGATATATCTCTGCTTTGGGAACAGAGCTTCCTCTTTCCGTTAGCCTGCCACAGCTGTCAGTGACTCCCATGTCACCGCTAGACAGTATGGGATCGGTCATGGGCAGCACAAGCATTCCAGTGTTTGATCTTTCGATGTCTGCACCCTTTGGGATGTAATATTACCTAGTCGAACCTACCTCGTTGATTGAAAAGATGGAAGGGAAGACAAGACGCTAACTTTGGAGTGCAGGGGATAATTACAGTACGTTGTATCTGGTGCACTGGCCAGTAGTGAAGGGGCTGGCTGAGTTTCTCTCTCCCCTTGTGACTTGGGCGATGCTTGGAAAGATTGATATACTCCATAGCTTACGAAGTACAAATGTTGTAGAAGAAGCAATATCCAAATTATTGATACGACTCAGCTTCTTGGCACCCGATTACGAAGTAAATGTTGATATAGAGCGCCCCCCAGTTTGCAGCTGAACGAGATTAACGGGGGCCTAGGTACCACGTAAAAAGGCCCCTCCATATTTGTTTTGCTTGGTACCTTGCAGCATCGTGTCCCCATGCGTATAGAATGCATACGGGTATTGCCGCCTGATCTGATAGAACGATTGGTATGTAGAGCCTGACGCACGCACTGGTTCAGCTCGGACCATGAAATTTGGGTTATGCGTCAGGTCATAATATCTGAGCTGAGCCCTAAAAATGGAGGATGATGAGCGAGTCTCGGTACTATATGTAGTTTTTTCTTATAAAAAGAGGCGCCTCTCCCGGTTGCCCAGGCCGGATTCTTGGACCCGATGCCATGGTTGACGTCTTCTGCGAGGTTTCGTCACTGACCACTGGTGCCCAGCCCAGGCTGCATGCATGATCTGGGAGGCGCTGCATGCATGAGGGGTGTCTAGCCTAGCGGCTTATGAGAACGAACGCTTAACCAAAGCATCGTCAAAACGGTGGCGATTAAAGGGATAGACAGCAGAGACGAGTTCCTGGCTGCCGATTAGTTAGATTTGCCGCATTCGACCCCATGCGAACAAAATATCAACACCGATCTGTGGGGCTTGACCCAAGGGAACAACGGTACTTAGATAGGCACCGTCGTACTTCGGCCAAGCCGCCTATGCCTGTCTCTGCGTCGTTCAACCACCTGCTGCGAGATTCTTGCAGTGTCCTCGGCAGTTAGGTTCGTGCGTCGGCCAAAGCCGTCTCGTGACGGATGAGGGCTGCGGGGAACTGGGACCTGGATCCATAGCGCGGATTCAATTCGCACCTAAATGACAGGGGACTGGTGCTGGGACTGATACAACATAAGGTACTGCGGGGTCCTTGGCAAGGCGCACCTGGTAGTGAGAATAGATATGGAGGCCGTTCTCTCGACTTTTTGACGATGAGAGGAATAAACGACGCAAGTCGGCAGTAGGCATGGTGAAGGTGATCGAGCGCGCCAGACTGTACCGGATGTACCTTATGTGTAAGTACCTAAGTGCTGGGTTTTGGAAACAGGGACCAGCGTGGTTACTTGCATCAGTTTATCTGCAACCACGTCTGATTGATCCGCACCTCAGCACATCAGATAACGCCACGGAGCCTGCGCCGATCATCAACTGCCCTATCTGCTCCCTCTGACTGAGACTTAAGCGAACTATTGAATTCGCATGGACATCTACCTCCGTAGGTACTTTCGTACCTTAGTTGGCCGATTAATTAGCCTAAAATGTGCGGACCCCCATGCCACCAATGAACCTACCTTCCCTACGTATCCTAGACGAGCTGGAGAAGCTACATACAGGTAGGGTATGTTGTTCGTACCGAGAGTCCGTATTATACGGCGGGACCTATCCGTAATACCTAAGGTGCCTACTCCATTAAAGGTGGTCCGTGCTTTGAAATACACGAAATGACGACTCTTTTCGGTGGCGCGCCCCCACGCCCGCATTCCCTGGATGGTCCAGTGGAGTAATTCAGCTATGAGTGAGTTCAAGACCAACTTACAGGGTCCCCGAGCCATCGAATTGCTAACCATGCCCTAACCACATAAACTGCAACCACAAAGCGGCGTCCTGAAGAGGTTGTTCAGGAAGGCCTCGTCCTAGAGCGATTGTCCCAGAAGACAAGAGGGTGGAGAGTTCCCTAGAGACAGCTTGTGATGTCGAACTTCAAGTTTCTCAAATGGCGCAGCGTGGCTGACGTTGGTTTACGGAATCTATGAAACTGCAGTCGCTGACGGATGAATGGGGTGACCGCCATTGATATATGATAATATAGCTAAGCCAGCAGTGGGATAGAGATTAGAGATCGCTGACAAGCCCCATTCTCGGGCTCAGCGACGCCTAAAGCCGAGAAGGGTCACTGTAGTCTAGTTTAAATCAATTAGTTATGTCTTTGTAAATTTGTCCTTTTACACCATATTTTCGGTCAGGAATGGCCAAGCGCATAATAAACAAGTCGAGTCGATACTGGGGATGAGGAGTCGTTCGAAGTGTGTGAGAGAGTTGATGACTGTTCACCTATTCGGGTCCGGGTGATCTTAGCGCCGGTCCGTTTTTAGATCAGACCAGCGGACCTGCTTGCCATGTGACCCACATCTTACCCAATACAAGGTACGGAGCTATCAGGGTGCGATACACTATCGCGACACCGCCCACCTGGAGGTCCCGAGAGTCTGTGGGTCTGGATTTTTGCCTCCCCCAAGTTGCCGTGAACGCCCTTTGCATTGTTCAAGGAACAGCTTATCGCCCGTCTACCATCTCCCATGTTCTGAGGACTGGGGAATTTGATGTTGAAATTTAGCGACCATGTCCCTTCGCCGTCTCGACACGAACTCGTCGTTGGGCGATCGCGACCGAACCCACCTATTGTCACCGCATAACTACGACGACGATGCCGCTTCTTTGCACAGCCGGAGCGACCAGGACTCGGACAGTGACGATGACGAGCTTCAGTCACGCGCCCGAAATAGTCGCGAATTGCGAGCGGCCGACCGGATTGTCTTCCTGGAAGAAGACGAGGTAGACAAACTGGTTACGGATACGAGGAGAAGACAGGAACGTGAGCGAAGAGGTTCCAGTCTCAACCTGCCCAACCCGCTTCGACTTCTCCGACGAGCAAGCGACCCCAGACTATCATCAAGCCGTGAATCTTCTGAGGATATTCCACACGAGGAGAGGCGTCGTCAGCGTCGAACGAGGAGGCAAGAAAAGAAACACCGGCTGGAGGAGAAGGCGAACCAGGGCGAAGATGGGGAACTGATGTACGAGATGGAGGAAGGGGGGTTGAAGGATGGCAGCAGTACCGGCGAAAGCAGCGAAAGAGAGGACAGCGAAGAGGTCGATCGCGGAAATCTCAGGATGCTCAAGAACGAAAAATCCATTCGAAGACGCAACTGCCGCCGCTGGGTCTTCCTCCACACCTTGGTTGCTGTCGGCTTTGCGATCCTGGTTCTGGTGGCGTGGAAGTTGTCGCTGAACAACAACTCGGCAAAGACCAAGACCAAGTTGCCGGACCTTGTCAGCAACGGCACGGCACTCTTTGCGCCCACCACTATCATCATAAGCCTCGACGGTTTCCGGGCTGATTTTTTACAGCGGGAGCTTACACCTCGTCTCAACGCCTTCATCGAGGAGGGCGTGTCGCCAAAGTACATGCTTCCCTCCTTCCCGTCGGTTACTTTTCCGAATCATTACACACTGGCTACGGGACTATACCCCGAGAGTCATGGGGTGGTGGGCAACACGTTCTGGGATCCGGATCTGGAGGCCGACTTCTACTACACCGACCCGGAGCGCAGTCTCGATCCGAAGTGGTGGGGCGGAGAACCATTTTGGGTCACCGCTGAGCGGCAGGGCGTCCGGACGGCGGTTCACATGTGGCCCGGCAGCGAGGCGCATATCCTGGGCATGGAACCGAGCTTTGTGGACAAGTACAATGGAAAGGAGCTTCTGCCCAAGAAGGTTGCCCGCATTCTCGAGTTCCTTGACAAACCTGGGCTCGAAGATGAGACGACCAAAGTCAAGGAGATGCGTCCCCAAATCATTGCGGCCTATGTTCCCAACGTCGATGCTTATGGCCACAAGTACGGGCCCAACAGCACGGAGATCGACACGTCCATTAAAGAAGCCGACAAAATGCTCGATCAGATTTTCGCCGGCCTGGATCAGCGGAACCTCAGCCATATCGTCAACGTCATTGTCGTCTCTGACCACGGTATGGCATCGACAGACGTTTCCCGGTTAATGCAGATAGAAGACCTGCTTGACCTTGACAAGATTGAGCACACCGATGGCTGGCCATTGTATGGTCTCCGTCCCAAGAACCCGGACGATCTTCAGAGTCTCTACGACGGGCTAGCCGAGAAGGCCAAGACGAACCCCAACTTCGAAGTCTATCTCCGTGACGTGAACATGCCGGAGCGGTACCACTTCTCCAACAACCCTAGGATCGCTCCTCTATGGATCATCCCCAAGACTGGTTGGGCGATCGTGAACAAAGCAGAGATGGTCGCGGCCGAAGCCAAGGAGAAAGGCGAAGTGTACCATCCCCGGGGTCTCCACGGCTACGACCATGAGCATCCGCTTATGCGCGCCATCTTTGTGGCTCGCGGTCCTGCTTTCCCACACCCTCCAAACAGTGAGATGCAGGTTTTCCGTAAGCCTCCCCCTTCTGACGCCACCGCTAGTCATTGCACTGAGACTGACCGACTTTCAACACAGAGAACCTCGAGGTATATAACATGCTCTGCGACTCGGTCGGCGTGATTCCTAAACCAAACAACGGCACTCTCAGGCTACCGCTGCATCCCACCGGGCTGCACAAGCCGGAGGATAGGCCGCCTGTGCCTGAGGACCCTGAGCCAACCCCTTTTACACAAACCAAAACTCTGGTTTCGACATCGGCGACGACAGCGTCTTCCTCGGCGACCAAGCCCGCTGAAGTGGGTGAAGGCACCAGCAAGACTGCAGCTGCTCCCAGTCACACGACCACAAACGAGGAAGGCCACAACGAGCCCGACTCGGACTCTAATTCTAGCTCCGACTTGATGTCTTCAGTTAAGGATGCATGGGACTGGCTCACAGGCAAGATCGGGGATCTTTTTGACAAGATCACAGGGTCTGATGGCTCCAAGGCTTCGTCCTAGGGGTTTGGCTTGACATGCGAGGCGGTTGCGAATTTTTAATGACATGATTGTTCATGGCGTTCGGCATTACGATCTGGTAATATTGGTATTGTTTCTTTCCAGTTTCAAAGCTCTACGGATACCAGAAATAATTAATTTTATCGCACAGCTGTGTCTCTGCTTTTCAAGATATTTCGGGTTGGAAGGCGATCCCTATTATACTTAATACCTGCATCTATCTCCCTGGGTTAAACACGCAATGTCTGGCATCGCATGAGAATAGAATTGAAGGAGGGAAGTTGCGAGCGGTCTTCATGGCGCGGACTAGGGAATTGCACGCACGGCCCGTTGCGTCCTATCTGTGCTTTATGTTAAGGATAGCGTTTCCCCCGCATTCCCGTTCCGGACGTGCCGAGTGGGGCTGATCAACGTAACTACCGGGATAATACGCGTCGGCACTGCAACGACAAAATATTATGACCGTCTGGACCGTCTCCGGTCCGGCATTTGATTGACACTGATGACTGTTTTCTCCCAGAGTGCCGCCAAGTGAACATCGCGCAAAGTTGTTTCAATGGAAATCCCCCACTGATTAAGGTGATTTAGATGGATATGTCCGTCTTGATCAGAGAGAAGACGGCCTGAAAGAGATGGTTGTATTTCGTTGGCAGCAGAGACAGATAAACGACTTAATTAGTGCCGCTTAGAGGGCGTTGAGCTATGCAACTTAGAGGTGCCTAGCTAGGGCCATCCGTCGGGTCAAATAACCAAAAAGAAAGGGTCTACTAATAGACCTTAAAAGACTAAAACGCATAATATGTCTTCGGCAAGTGCGCCCCAGGTCATTGCCTATTACAGAGATTATGATATACAAGTATACTTGGTACCTTTAAAGATTCGGTGCTTTCTAAATTTCGTTCAGATATCATATGCCTTATCGAAGTAAGGTATCCATCTTAACATGGAAATCACTTCCAACTCATATCCCCTATCATCCGCGCGCCTCTCCTTTTCTCCTTCCATCCTCTTCTCTCCTTGACTCCACACTACCTTACCTAGGTACCTCCCTTACTTTAGGAACATCTGCTTTGCCCTACCTCTATCTTGTTTATTCTCTTTCTCTTTCCTGCCCTTTTCTTCCTTCCAGCTATCTTCCTTCTCCTTAAGAACACAAGAAGGAAGTGGAAGACAAGATCTCGATCTCGACTTCTCAGACCATCCATGTCTGTATCCAGCTAGTAAGTCTTCGGATACCGCCTAACCTATATTGCCTTTGTTTTTCCGGTCTTCTACCCCTCCGCCTTTGCCTCCAGCTTCCTGCACAGCACGCGTATCTACCTACCAGGTACCTCGGTGAGAGCTTTTTTGTAAGTGACGTTTTCTGTTCTCTGCATTTACATCCTCTTTTATCTAGGTGCCTAGAGGAGTGTATGCCTGTTCTTCTTCTTCTACTCCATCTTCGAACCCTTTAAAACTCCCATGCTTCTTTGATTCCTATGCATCTGTCTTCCGTATTCCACTCTATTACCTTTATGCTTTTTCATCTGACACTCTAATCAGCCTTGTTTTATGCCTTACACACCTTGAACCTAGTCTCACACTTTTATGTTGTTCGTGTATTCACTTTATCTACGCGGCATCGCTTCTCCACTATGTGGTTCTAATAAGGCAATATAGGTGTTGAAAGAATCTCTTCTAACCGTGCAAGTTTTAGAGTGCAATCACTAAGCGCGATAACCGGTGTGTGGCAGTATGCTGGTTCCTGATATGCACTGCCACCAAGGAAACTCATATCTCTACTCTGTCTTCTCGATCTTTTGACTCGCCTCGTCCATAAACAGACAATTATGATAGGTACGTCACAGTGTGTTTGGGTCCTATTAAGTGAGCCTTGGCTCATTTGGTTTATCTTGCCGAGAGCACTGCCCTTTGAAGTACTTGTCGCTAATAGCCACCTCAGCCCACGCAGTCAGAAACATCAGACCTCAATATAACATGGCGGATAAGATGTCCATGAACCATAATCGTCTTTCCGGTTCAGAGGGCCAGTTTGGGCAACCGACTGTATTACGAGTTCAGAAGAACACGATCAAGGGCAACGTACATCGTCAATGGCGCAGTGAGAAACAAAGCTCATCTACTTCCATCCCTGCTGCAATCCGAGGCTTCCGAGCCCCTGGTGCAGTTCGTATCCCAAGTCTGGCTACCTCCTCTGTCCCCTTCGGGACTAAACCTAAGAGAACGTCCCGTGGATATACTGCCAAGGATGACATCGCAGTGTTGGGTTGCTTGGATAATGAGTCCCTCCCGAGTACGAAGGGCTCGAACATTCCTAAGCGTCAACAGAGCCATCGAAGTGTCAACAGGAAGAACTCACAAGATAATACTGTGGGTCATAAGAGCACTGTCATCAAAGGTCGCAAATGTGAAGGTAAGAACTAGGCGCATCCGATTCTTTCTATCTTGCTTCAGTTGTTGTTTAATGCCTTGAACTCATTGTCCCCTTTCCACATCTTTCCAATGCATCGGTTTCTTCCGTCTCTATTCCTTGACACGTTCTAGCTTGACTTTCGACGTTATGTGGTCTTGAACTGACGCATACACAGCATCTATCAATGCAACCATACGACCACCCCCATCAAATCGTCAACGTCCAGCTGCAGGCCGGACCGTGTCTTTGAACATGACCTCAACGGCGCATGGTGAGAAAACGAATCCTGTCAAGGTGGAAGAACGTAACGCTCTCACGACCTTCTCGAAGGACTCTGGGGCTCTTCCACTGAGGACGAAAACCAAGCCAGCTATGGTCATCAATGGCCAGTACAGGGGAACGAGCCGTCTCACGCAGCCAGAGCTCGAATCGCTCGAGGAGCCTTCCTCTCACAGGGCCCAGGCGGCAAATTCGAGGCCCAAGGTGCCAGTAAAGGCGCCCCCTTCCGTCACCCAAGATGGGAGATGGAGAGGTACCGGCCGTCTCACTCTGGCAGAAAGCCAAGCTTTCAAGACCGCTTCATACAGCTATGCCAGTTCCGAGAACAAGCCAAGGCACAAAGCTTCTGCTATTAAACTCACAGCAGAAAACCCTCAACTTTCCAATCACAAGTCGAACCGGCCAAACTCCACTCAGACATCTTCTTTGAAGCCTACCATCAGGCCCTCGAACAAGAGAGTTCTCAGTCCTTCCAAGGACTCATCTAGCCAGGGAGTGCCTGATCGTCGCAAACGCCAAGCACTAGATGTCCCAGGCCGCGAAATCGGCAATGCTTCTTCCAGCAGCAATGAGGTGCAGTTTGTTGCCGCTTCAAAGTACGTTTTTGCATTCCTAACAAAACCGTTCAACCTTTTCTGTCCTAAAACTTCCAGACATTTGCTGACGTAGACCAACAGAGCACGTGTGCAAGGACACATGCAGGATCGAGGTACTATCAGCCAGCGTACTCAGAAGACTCCCGAGAACGCCCGCCGACACACTTTGAATGGACCACTCAACAGCAACAGACCTCCTTCGAGTCAAGCCAATGTATTGAGAACCGCCCCAGAAACAGTGTCAAGACAGCTTTCCGTGAACCGCAACTCGTTATCTGGCATGATGGTAGCCCGAGCCAAAATACGTGCTCGCCATATCGGAACCCTCAGTGCCTCAGATTTGCAGGATAGGGCGTCATCGAAGGATGGCCTTAGGAGAAGAATCACCCCAAGGCCGACAGAGGTTGAAGTCATGAAATCGAAGTTGATAAACATGTTCAACATCATTGGTGAATATGACCCTGTTCTGGAGGAGAATGTTACCAAAAATCCGTTCCAGGAAGCCAAGGACAAGGAATGGATCCAGGAGCAACTCCGGGAATATTTCCCAGACCATTACCAGAAGCTAGGGATAAGCCGTGAGAAGCAGATTGGAAGACTCTTGGAGAACATATCTCCCAAGACGATGAGTTCCTCTACCCAACGCGCGGCGACCCCCAAGAGCCTAGCAGTGCCTCTGCTTGCTCATCAGGAGATCGCCTTGGATTGGATGCAGCGGCAAGAGAGGGGCACCAGTAAAGGGGGCATTTTGGCTGACGAGATGGGTCTTGGAAAGACTCTTTCTACTATTTCATTGATTCTTGCATGCTCATCGACCGAGAAGCATAAAGTAAGTCATCCTCCCCGTCTTCTCTCTCCCCATTGCTCCGAACTACTCTCGTCTAGACTGAAAGACTGAACTGATCCTTCATACCAATGTAGACAAACCTCATAGTTTGCCCTGTGTCTCTCATCAAGCAGTGGGAGCAGGAGATAAAGAGCAAGCTCAAGCCTGACTACCAGCTGAAAGTGTCCATCTTCCATGGCGAGAAACGCGCGCCGGCATCCGAGCTCATGGAACACGACGTCGTCTTGACGAGCTACGGAACCTTGCTCAGCGAGCGAAAAAAGTTGAATGACTTTTGGAAGAAGAACGTAGACCGCAAAATCGACGTGAAGAACGACGTCCTCCTCAAGCAATGTGCATCTTTTCTGCACCCTTGGGATTCTCACTTCCATAGAATCATCCTCGACGAGAGCCACCACATCAAAAACAGGCTGGCCCAGACCAGCGAAGCTGTCACGGAGGTGAAGGCAAAATATCGCTGGTGCTTGACGGGGACTCCCATGATGAACGGCGTGGACGATATGTACGCGATGTATCGATTCCTCAAGATCAGTCCCTACGATGACTGGGGGTTTTTCGTCGACAGCTTTGGGACTCTCTTCGACACTAAAACGACCGGTGCTGATCCCAAGGTGCTTGCCATGAAGAACTTCCAGGTCCTTCTCAAGGCTACTATGCTACGTCGATCCAAGTCCTCGATGCTTGACGGCAAGCCCATTCTTGTACTGCCCGAAAAGACGGAGGAGAATGTCGAGGTCGTTCTGAGTGTCGACGAGTTCAAATTCTACCAAGAGGTACAAGAGAAATCTCAGGTGATCTTCAGTCAGTACCTCGGGGGAACTAAGACCATCGGATGGCGGTTCGGTCATGTGCTGGTGCTTCTTCTGCGACTGAGACAAGCCTGCTGCCACCCGTTTCTTTTGCTCAACTCCGAACAGTTTATCCCCGAGGTTGATGCCGAGATGTTGGAGCGAGCGGAAAGACTACCGGAAGGTCAAGTCAATCGAATTCTTCAGTTAGCTCGTATCAGCGTCGAGTCGGTGGACAGACTGCCGCCCAAAGGGAGCTTCAAGTGCCGCGACTGCTCGACAACCATTGCGGATCCCATCTTCATCTATCCCTGCGCTCATGAGATTTGCGTCAACTGCCTCGCAAAGCTTGTCCCCAAAGCAAGCAATGCGCAAGTCGAGCAGACGAAGTGCCCCGTCTGTAAAGGCCCCTTGGACAAGAACACGGTCATTACGTACGATGCATTCAAGCAAATCCATGCGCCTGAGCTTGTGGACGACTTGAGTCCAGAAAACAATGACCAAGACACCCAGACAATTTGCCTTGGGCCTGACAGTGACAAAGAGCACGAAGAGCCCAACCCGCCCAGTAAAGTAGGAAAAGGGGAGAGACCCAAGATCAACCCCGCAAGGCTCATGGCCCTTCGGCAGTCCGCATGCCGGAACATGGCCTCCCGTCAAGAGTACACCCGTTACCTCGAGGAATGCTAGCGTCCGTCCTCGAAGGTGAATGTGTGCATCGACCTCCTCCGGCGAATCCAGAAAGAGACGGGCGGCGAGAAGTCTAAGACACTCGTCTTCTCCCAGTGGACAATGCTCCTGGACTGCCTTGAAGTGGCTCTCCGTGAGGATGATGACGAGACCATGCGGAATCTAAAGACGGTGCGATACGATGGCTGTATGACCATGACGTTGCGCGACAAGGTAGTGCGAAAATTCCGCGATGACCCCGACGTCAGAGTCATGTTCCTCTCTCTGCGAGCGGGCAATGCGGGACTCAATCTCGTTGCGGCAACCCGCGTCATCATCATGGAGCCGTTCTGGAACCCCTATATTGAGATGCAGGCCGTCGACCGCGCACACCGGATCGGCCAAAAGAAACCCGTCAAGGTGTATCGTCTCCATGCTCAGGGGACGGTGGAGGATCGCATCATGAAACTGCAGGAGGCCAAGAAGAGCACCATCAACGCAGCTCTCGACGAGAAAGCCCATACCCAGGTTTCCAGTCTGAGCCTCGATGAGCTTAAGTACCTTTTCAACCTGGCTTAAAGCGCCTGCCACCCCCTTTTTCTCTTTCTCCATTCTCTTACACACTCCTTACGCTTTTCTCTTCTGCCGAGACTATGCGACTGCTTTTCGTTTTGGCATTTGCCTTCATTCCGTCCTGTAAGAAGGGAAATGCGTTCCTTGGGGTTTTCTTTGCTGTGTTCGACAAACGGTTTAAAAAGAAAAAGAAGAAAAAAAGATACCCTAGCTTGCGACGACTGGAAGTTGTACAGCTCTTCGGCTTGTAGAAGATTCGAGAGTCCCAGTCAACTGAAAAGCAGAAAGTTCGGAGGTTAAGGGACTGGATATGCCCGTGGAGGGCATTCCCTTCACAGCATAAACAAGGACGACAGGCTGGTGTGAATACCAGGGCGATACAGACCATAAAGGAATCCTGACCATCTCCTTTCGGATACGTGTCTGCAGTCCTCTCTTCACTCGACTTCTGCACCTTTTTGTCGGGGGGTTTTTTTTTTCGCTTGTTTACGCATATTCTTTTCTCTTCCTCTCTCTTTTTCTCCCCATCTGTCTTTCTCCGTCTCTCTTCTGTTGTTTTCTCTTATTTTTACAAATTTCTCTTGCCTGGGCTCCTTTATTTTCAGTTTCTTTGGCTTCGTTTGCTTCCACATCTTCTCCTCTTCTGGATGCGCCTCTCAGCGAATTGATAGCCCGCTCTTGAGATATCAAGCCTGCTCACCTGGCCTTGCAGGGACAGGGGAAGGCACAAGGGCATGGAGAGACTTCGGGGCGTTTTCACACTTACACCCATGGCTATTCTTTTTTCTTTTTATTACGAACCCAATGTCTCTACCGGTGCCGTTTTCGTCTTTCTACCCCTGGAATGCCCAACTTGGATGCGACATAACGGCCAATCCTGTGGACATTGACAAGTCTCCATAGCAACCAGCTGCGAGGTATGGTGGGAAAGGGTTGGCGATGGAACGAACTGTGGATGGCAGACACAGAAAAAAGAGGCTAGGTTTGTTGGTACCAGGTGGGAGGGGTAGTTATCTGCGTCGTTCTCCGAGACACGTTGGCGTTGGAGGGCCCCTCGATGTATCATACTCGACAGACACAAATGCTTGAGGTTGGTTTAACCGACCTCCATTATGGATGCATTCTGATAGGACAAAACAACAAATTACCCCTTATCTCTACTGAAACTGCATGCGAGCCTCGCTGCCGCTGTTGTTATGTTGCAGATTGGATGCGAGAAGAAGGTAAGGCTTGCTGGAATGGATTATGCATTTTGTCGTGGATTACCAAAATGCCGCGAAGAGAAGCTGGTTTGTATCTCTATCAGTGTAGATGGTATCCATGAGGAGAACCTCAAGAGTCGGGATGGAACCACTGAGGGCGGTGACAAGGACACGAAGACCACGTTGTGACAGGGTGATGGGGTGACAGCACCCACATGCTGGAGATATATGGCACTGGGAGACCAGGTGGATGCCAGGAACATCAACGGAAGAGGGCAGCTTCGATGGGGCGCAAATCTCACAAGTTATCACCATCATCATCTTCTCCCTGTGAAAAAGTCAGAAATATTGGGTATCAATATCGTGCCCAGCCTATGAGTGCTGGATATCTATGTACCAGCCTTGGGTGTCGTCTTTGTCGTCAGTCATCATCAAGGGAAAGGCTTTATACTTGAGACGGTTCTCTCGCAGAAATGCTTCCACAAAGGCGTCCATCACGTCTGATAGAAAATATCCGGCTAACCTCTCCCGCTCCACGGACTCCAATGCCAGAGAGACAGAACCACCCATCTAGGGACATTCCGAAGCCGTGACAACAGCCCGCACAATGTCCTTCACGTCAACGGGGGCCTCTTTCTCGGCGCCACCGAAACGCCACGTCTCGCGCCGGAGTTCGTTGCCAACGTGCCACGTCGCGGCAACGACAACGTGGTCGGCACGACCGTCCTTCTCAATGAGTTCAAAACAGATCTTGGCCGAATCGTTGCTGTCCTGAATCGCGTTGCCCCGGACGGAGGCGACCCACGATGGCGCGGAGAGGTCCTGTTCGTCCTGTGGCGGTGGCGGCTGTTGTTGTTGTTGTTGTTGTTGTTGTTGTTGTTGTTGTTGCTGCTGCTGTTGTTGCTGCTGCTGCGATGGCACCGGAGGTGGAGACAAGGGTAAGGACAAGGCATAGGCGAGAAATTCGGCGGCGAGGAGCCGAGGGACGGCCGAAAAGAGGAAGGACTTGACCGAGTCGAGATCCGGATAGGCATCGCGATCGCCGCTGGGCGAGAAAGTGGATTGCAAAGGGTTGAAGCTCTCGTCCTGGCTACCTAAAGGCGGGAGGAGATGGATTTCGTATTGGGTCGTGGTCATGGGGAGGAACCAAGTACGGCCGCGGATCTGGACCCGGCATGTAGAAGACAGGGTGAGGTCGACTCGGAAGCGAGCCGGGGAGATGAGGAGGTTGATGAGTGCCTGCGCAGCGGTGGGCCGGTTGGATGAGGAGGAGGACGGAGGAACGAGGTCGGCGGTCGGTAGCCGAGGACTGTGAATGGTGAAGGAGGCTTCTTGCATGCCGAGGAGACGGAGGAGTCCGGTGAGATCGCCCGCGAAACGCGTGCACTCTCTGATCGAACTATCGTGGACGGTGTGGAATATTATAGGGCGCAGGAGATGATACTGATGGAACTGCTGAAGTCGACGGATATGTGGCGGGCTCGGTCGTAGTCGTTGCACTTCGTTCTGGCGGTGGGCATGACTGAGAAAGAGATGGAGGCTCAGCTGCGTCAGCTCAGCTAATTGGTTGTCGCGGAGGTCGCCTCTGGCTGGGGCAATGGTGTCTAGAGTGTCGAGGGCCAGGGTCACTTTGGGCCCGAATTTGGGCTCGTACGTTATGGAAGAGTCGCTCGCCTTTACGCCGTAGGAGGCTAGGGAGTGGGCTTCTCGATGGAGTTCGTGCCATAGTTCCTGGGAAAAGATGGCATTTCGCGCCTCAAGGACACGGGTCTGAAGAGGTCCGGTGTCGGATACAGATGTGTGCGGGAGGGATCGGCCACTGTGTTCGCCTTGCCGGTCCATGGCGACAGACAGTCGCTGCGACCCTGCGCCGGCTCGGCTATGGTCCAGCACAGCAGAGCCATCGTCGCCACGCCTCAAGGGGGCAAGGCTATTATTTCGGAACTCCGGGGAGGCTGTTGATTTTGAGTGAGCAAGAGGATCGGGAGAGGGGCCGAAAAGGAAGAGAAAGGCGGAAAAAAAGAAAAAAAAAAAAAGGGAATGATGGAAAACAAGAGATGGATGTAATGATAAAAGTCTCACCTTCAGTAAAGCCAAACCGGACACCGAGAGTATGGCGTTCCGCGGGCAGCCGACATAGAGACCAGCCATTCTGCTTCACAGCAAGCACTTCCTTCCAGTAGGCAGCCTCCAGTTCGATTTCCCTAGAGAGCATCGAGCTTGTTTTCTCTGCGGCCTCCCTTGTCCGGTCAATATCGATGAGCGTCCAGCCTAAGGACACATCTCGAGCTTCTTTCCGTTTTTCGTCTCTCCCTTTCTCGTCTGCTTCATGTTCGGAATCTTTGAATTTAGAGGCGCCCAGGGTACCAATTCCGGCGAACTCGCGAAGGGCTTGGGAGAGGGTAGCTCCGGCCTGATTGGGGTTATGTTTGGTGAGAAGGAGAGAGACGAAGTCGAGTGAGAACATGGCCGTGTTGTGGGCAGCACTGGTAACGAACGAACCAAACCTTGGTCAGCGAATACTCGGCACAAGGAGGAGGTGAGTGACAAAGAAAGGCGGGAAAAGCCGGGGGTGAAGGCGTCGGCATACTCGATGTTGCGAAGAATCTCGGCCTTGACGGCGTGAATATCCCTGGGCTCCTCAGACTCGTCGGTCTCTTCACTAGTTCCGGACATGTGTACGTCCTCCTGGTCGCTGTTTCCAGCCTGGCCATCTTCCTTGGCCTGAATCTCTTCCCGGAGGCTGGCCTCGGTAACATTGCGGAAACCGCGGTCGGCCTGGATGCGGGCGATGAAGTCGCCAAGGTTCTTGGGCTTCCGGCTGCCCACCGGAAGTGGCCGAAGGGAGGAGTACGGCATAGAGCCTGCACCACTTGTCGCCATCACAGGCAAGGAACAAATTATTGGGGCGACTGAGGTCCGAGCTGTGAGGGTTCGAATGATCGATCAGTTGGTCGCAGTTAGGAGGATTGTTGCATGATTCGGCAAAGTTGGGCGATCACAATCGCATGATGCGAAGGGAACCTGGTCGCCAGGCAAGGAGTCGTAGAGGAAGGGGGAAGAAACAGGGAGGGAATTGGTGTACTCCGGAGGGCAATTGGCGAGTCAATGACCTGAATTCAATTGTTGGATGCTCTATGCGTGTTGCCGGTGTGTATAGTATGTCGTAAGGTATGTAATCTTACGGTATGGTGCATTCTCCTTTCCTCGGGACCGTGCAGATCCTCCGTTTGCTTACATAATTACACCAGTAATGACCGGCCGTGCACAGACCAATACTACCTGAACCCTGGCCATACCAGAACCAGCCAAGTCTAATTATTGTGAAGGACCTAATTGAATGCATGTGTTACTTCGTGAGACTGGGGAGAGGACTTTCCTCGGTCTCTTGGCTTTTACCAGGGTCATACAGGTGACAGTCCATCAGCCCATTCCATATGCACAGCAATTCCTTACTCAAGTTAGTACCTAATATTCGTGTGTAATGTACGCGTACAATCCATATGCAACCCCGCCCTCACACCCCCGCCGATAAAAAGAGAGAGAGAGAGAGAGAGAGATGAGATAAGATAAGATAAGATAAGAGCTTGCCTTCGTTACCCCTCATCTACTCCGTACCTTATATTACTCGCTACCTATAGAAACACCACCCACCAACACGCCATAACTCGACCTCGCGTACGAAGTTCTCCATTAAGACATGCGTCATTCCGTTCCAGGTTAGCAACGAAAGACCATTCCATTGGGTGACAGTCCGGGGGAGCCAGCACTAATCAGTTGTTTTTAGCCTGATACTAAACACAGCACCAAGAAAGCTTCGAACCTCGAGTCGCTTTCTGGGGTACTTGTCAGTTGTCACGCCTCTTTTTTGACATTTCTCAAACCCCAGCGCGGTATTTACTCCCCGGGAACGAGGAGGCGGGGGAACCGATCCTTCCCTTGCACGTCTTGTCTTTCAAAGCTTCTACCCCTTTTCATCCATATTACCCTGCCTTTTCTTCTTCTATTTCCCCTTCCCTTTAATCCCTCTCCTCCCAATAACCAACCCCTTTTCCTGGCATTCGTTCGTAATCAGGAGTTTCCGGGCTTCCTTCCCATTGCCACGTCATCTTGGAAGGACAGCCAATTCCCATACTGGTCCATCTAGATCCGCCACAATGACAGCTCCTCAAGTCGAACCGCCCTCCGAGTCCCACGTCAACATGCCGAAGAAGAAGATTGCTGTCATGACCTCGGGGGGTGACTCCCCGGGCATGAACTCCGTCGTTCGAGCCGTCGTCCGTACGGCCATCCACTTCGGTTGCGATCCGTACTGCGTCTACGACGGATACGAGGGTTTGGTCCAGGGCGGACACATGATCAAGAGGTTTCACTGGCAGGATGTCCGCAATTGGCTCTCGCAGGGCGGTACCCTCATCGGCACCCAGCGTTGCGCCTCCTTCTTCGAACGGTCCGGCCGTATGATCGCCGCCAAGAACATGGTCCTGAACGGCATCGATGCTCTCATCATCTGTGGCGGTGACGGGTCCCTCACCGGCGCAGACAAATTCCGCTCGGAATGGCCCTCTCTGCTTCAGGAACTCGTTGCCTCCAACGAGCTTACCGAACAGCAGGTTGCCCCCTACCAGCACCTCAACATCGTCGGCATGGTCGGCTCCATCGACAACGACATGTCCGGTACCGATGTCACCATTGGTTGCTACTCCGCCCTCGACCGCATCTGCCAAATGGTTGACTATATCGAGGCCACTGCCACTTCGCACGCCCGCGCCTTCGTCATCGAGGTCATGGGTCGTCATTGCGGATGGCTCGCCCTCATGGCTGGCGTCGCTACCGGTGCAGACTTCATATTCATCCCAGAAAAGCCTAGGCAGGACGACTGGCGGGAGGAGATGTGCAATCTCGTTAAATGTGTAAGCCAGAAATTTCCTCGCCTTTTTTCCGTTCTGTCCCCCCCCCCCCCCTTTTTTTTTTTTGGGCTTCTCTCCTGAATATTATTATTATGATTTTATTATTGTATTATGCACGACCGAGCGTCGTCATCCACATTGGTCGCTTAGAGTAGCTGACTTCTGTCTCCCCACCCGTCTTAGCACCGAGATTTAGGAAAGCGCAAGACCATCGTCATTATGGCCGAAGGAGCCCACGATAGGCAAGGTAACAAGATCAGCTCAGAGATGGTCAAGGATATTCTGGCCGACAAGGATGGTCTGGCCCTCGACACTCGCATCACCACCCTAGGCCACGTCCAGCGCGGCGGTTCGGCCGTCGCCTACGACCGGGTCTTGGGCACCCTTCAGGGCGTCGAGGCCGTGCGAGCTGTTCTGGAGGCCACTCCTGAAACCGAGACGTGTTTTATTGCCATAACCGAGAACCAGATCGTGCGACGTCCTCTGATGAAGGCCGTCCTGGACACAAAGGAAGTTGCCAAGGCCGTCCGGGCTCAGGATTTCGAGAGGGCCATGGCACTGCGCGATACCGAATTCGCCGAGCTGTACAGGTCATATATGATGACAACCAGCGTAGTGGCCGATACAGACACTATGGCACCGGAGAAGGAGGTATGTCCAAAACCATACCATACCCACTTGTCCAGCCACCACTCGGCGCTCCCAAGCTAATGATACTCTTCGTCTTCTTTCCCCCTGTGCTTCTTTTAGAGGATGAAGATTGGTTTCATCAACGTCGGTGCGCCAGCCGGTGGAATGAACGCAGCTGTTCGCGCTGGCGTCGCGTATTGCATCGACCGCGGCCACGAGCCCATCGCAATTAACAACGGATTCGCCGGTTTTGCCAGACATCATGACGACAAGCCCGTCGGCTCGGTGCACCCCTTTAACTGGCTTGAAGTCGATGGATGGGCCAGCAGGGGAGGTTCCGAGATTGGAACGAACCGCGAACTCCCCTCCGAATCGGGTATGGAACTGGTTGCCAACCTGATCGAGCAGTATAGGTTTGACGCCCTCTTCATCGTTGGTGGGTTCGAGGCCTACCACTCCGTCTGCCAGCTCCGACGCGCCCGGGAGCAATATCCCTCCCTCTGCATTCCCATGGTCCTGCTGCCAGCCACCATTTCCAACAACGTGCCAGGCACCGAATACTCTCTCGGTTCCGACACGTGCTTGAACGAGCTGGTCAATTACTGCGACAAGGTCAAGCAGTCGGCGTCGGCTTCACGCCGGCGCGTCTTCGTCGTGGAGACCCAGGGGGGCAAGTCCGGCTACATCGCCACCCTAGCCGGCCTCAGCGTGGGGGCCAGCACCGTGTACACGCCGGAAGAGGGCATCGACCTGGAGACACTGACGGCCGATGTCAACTACCTGCGTGACGTCTTCGCGAAGGACCATGGTCAAACTTCGTCCGGCCGCCTCATCCTGGTCAACGAGAAGGCGGACCAGGTCTTCAATGCCAAGCTCATCGCCGACATCATCCGGAAGGAGGCCCGCGGCCGCTTCGAGTCGCGGGACAGCATTCCGGGCCACGTCCAACAGGGCGGCGTCCCCTCGCCCATGGACCGGTGCCGCGCCGTGCGGCTCGCCATTAAGTGCATCCAGCACCTGGAGCAGTTTGGGCCCTGTTCGCACAACAGGTCCAAGAAGGATCCCATGAGCGCCTGTGTCATTGGCATCAAGGGTGCCCAGGTCGTCTTCACCCCCGTGGAAGAACTCGAGGATACGGACACCGACTGGAAAAATCGCCGCCCCAAGACGACTCACTGGGCCCATATGAAGGAAGTGGTCAGTATTTTGGGCGGGCGGCCGTCACACCCCATGCCCGAGACACCGCTCACGGGCATCGTGGCTAAGGATGTCAAGAGGGGTCTCACATATGTCTAGTCGACGAGGTCTTGTCACGCAAGTCTCTCATGGCTTGGGACTGCGTTAGATAGCATCTTGAGGATTAGATCGTGGTCTGGGAGAGGACACAAAAATACGTTGGGGTTCGAGGAAAACAGAGGAAAAGCTATAATAAAAAGAAAGCCAGGCGTGTCAAACGACAAGGTCAACCCCCCCCCCCCCCCCCCACCCCCCAAAAAACTCCCCCCCCCCCCCCCCCCCAAATCCCCAATAGAACTTTCCCAACCCCAGTCCTCCTCGCGGCGACTAACACCCCTTCAACCTGTCCCGAGAAGAAAAAAGAAGAAGAAAAGGGGGAAGAAAGGACGAAGGGAAACAAAAAGCAATTCTTCACATGTAGCATAAAGAAAGGAACGCTTCAAATGACGAGGTCATCGCTCCTCTTGATGCTTCATGACGTGAAAGCGTTGCGACTTTGTTTATACATACGTGAACTCCCTGTGTGGTTATCGCGGGAATCCTCGCACTAATTGCAGGTACTGTGACGTACGGAGGAGAGGAGAGAGGTACTTACCGTTCTGTGTCTGCCGCGCTGTTACTCATCACCTGTAAGGTGCAGATGAAAGTTCCAGATGCGCCTATTAGTTCCAGGACTAGGTACAGAAGTGCCATGTTCCCTCCCCCCACAGTCGTTTCCTCCTCCTACACGGTGATTCGTACTTAATATCCCAAGTACACCAAGGGGAGGGAGAAATAAAAGAAGAGAAAATAGCGGTGGAGAGGCGATACAGAACAAGGTACGAATCTACCTCTGGGAATCCCTTATCATGTAGTCCCCCTGAGCTGATAATGTTTTGACGTTCTACACATGTACACTCTGTATATCTTTTCCACGGGACGAACCGAACTTGTCGAGAGGGGGGTTAATTGTAAAATTCCATCCAGTCGCAAGACAGGAGTGAAGGAGAACAAAGAAAAGAACAGGGGGTGCTTTATAGCGCTGCTGTAGTGTGGCTTATAGAGGAGTTTGATTGGATGACGGGCTGAACGGGGTCAATGAGGTCGTAAGTACTTCCTATGTACAGAGTACGTACTGCATATTTCATGTCCACTCCGTAGGTACTTGTATGTGAGACGCCCTGAGAGCATAAACACGGGATACCCGTTTGACTCTAATTATGGGATATGTGTTAGGTGCAGTTTTGGGTGCCAAGGGTGTATATATGACGATGAAAACGGGAAGATCGCGAAAATAATAAGAGAAGAAATGAGGGAAAATGAGAATACGTGGTTATATTCTACGATGTACGTCGGACAAGAAGTTCCGGCACATTTGCGAGTCAGAACCCGTACCTTTCGTGTGGGACAAATTATGACGAATGACGTCAAGTGATTCAGGGGGTCCCCGAGAATTCAGATCAGCCGGGAATGATGTGTCCGTTGAGGAAGGAGGTTCATGAAAGAAAGAAAAAGGCTACCTTAGGCGCTGTGTCTAGAACTTCTACCTCGTGGCTTGGAGGCAACGGTGTTGACCGAACGAGTGGAAAGCGGTGTACAACGTAGCTCGAGCAAACGACTACGCATACAATGCGATACAGGGGGGATTTAAGGTGTGGGAGCACTTTGTCAAGTTATCTCCGCGTAAATGAGAAAGGAGCGACAGAAAATTGAGAGGTTTTGAATGGAATATTTGTAGGTACCGTACGGAGTATTAGAATGGAATAAATAAGGTAGGTAATAAGGTACGGAGGAGATGACGGAAAATCTAGCCAACAATGACGTATCGCGTTGACGTCATAGGGAGATAATGACCTCATATTATCCGTACTGTGTAGAATTGACACTAACGGGAAAGTAGTGGGGCCGTGGGGGGTAACTCGGGTAGGACGAAGAAATGAAGCAGCACCTCGAGATAAGATAATATGTTTCTCCTATCCCTCCAGCGGGAATATGGGGAAATAGGAGGAAATTGGGTCAACAAATCAGAGTACAGGGGAGTCAAAGGGGAAGGCAGCCGAGAGGGGAGTCGGGGAGACGCCTCCGAGTCCGACGCCATTAATAATAATATAGGATTGTCGTGCAGTCGGCCCCCCTTGTCCTGCATCGAGTCTCCCCTTGTTCCTTGGTAGCAAATTGTCGCCTTGGGTTGGACCCCCTCCTACGAACTTACGAAGTAACGGGCAGGGAAACAACTTCCTAGTATGAGAAAGGAGTAAAAGGCTGCCTGTCTCCTAGTTATTGGATACTACCCGTCAAAGGATTGCATAGACACCTTACGGATGGTAGTTTTGTGCGTGTGTGTGTGGGTGGGTGGTGGTTCACACTTATTTTCTAAAAGACACGTGAGGCACGGGGTACACTTTCCGTCATTCGATACGGAGTAGGTACTCATGGTACGGACCTACTACCTGCAAAGTACCTCGTACATACAACGTACCTTGGCCGAGCTGGTTCCTTCTCTGCCTTGGTTTTCCCATAGAATTTTCAGATCTTTAGCCACGATGTCCTAGACGAGCTAAATAAAGCCTGCTTAGGGAAAGGAGCCAGACACCCTTCAATAGGCCTGTTGGTTAAGCTGGAAATCGGGCTTTTTACAGTTTTTTTCTTCTTACCTTATTCATTTGACTACCTTAAGGTACTTTTTCCTTGTCGATAAATACACCGTGACCCCCAATATTAGTCACATACATCTGGACCCCCTTGGTCCCAGTCTTGCTTCGTACTTCGTATAATAAATTTAACCCCCTTGTAGCCCCGGTACTCCGCACAGTCCGTCCGAAGTGGTAGGGAGGTATTGTCCTAATCGTACTTTCGTACCTTCCTCAGTAAGGTACCTCACTCTGTACCCACCTTGTTGAAGTGCGAAAAAGAAGCTCCCCACTAATAGCAAGTCGCGTCAAGCTAAGAGCCACACACTAAACTACCACTACCTACCACTTACCAACGAAATCCGCTCCGGTCCTTCCCCTCTCACACCCACACCGGTATCATCGTTTCCCAACATCTCTCCTTCCCTCTCTCTCCCACACACAGCTGGAGCAGGCTCAGAAATCAACCACGACAACAGCCGCCTTCGCAAACATCGCTCGCTCACTGCATTTGTCCACGGTCGTGGACCGTTTTGCCACGTCGGGGTCTTTAGACCGGGCCTACCTACATGCCAACAACCTCATTTCTACGAAATCCCCTCACTCGGCTCATTTGATCTGAGCCAATATCGGATCAGCGACGTAAACTGCCTCGAGCCGCTTCGAGTCTCCTCTGTCTCCTACTCCTCGAGCACCGTCCGTCCAGCAACCCTTCTCTGTCTACCACGTTACGTTCCGCCCTTCATCCCGTCGACCAAGGAGCTGCAATTCATCGCCACCAATACCCTGCGTTGCATGGGTCTATCCACTCGATCGACGAGCACTGATCCTCCTTGATTCACCACCACGTCGCTGCCGGTTGTCACTGACCCTCGTCTGACCCGAGCTCGGTCGACCTCCTTTCGGAGACGACGCGGGTGTCACGTCACGGTGGACACTCCATGGCGCGAGACGTTCTTATTCCTAGCGCAGCCTTCTCGACAGCATAGGGCGTGTTTCCATCCGTTCCACCTTGAGCGCCGCTATGTATCCGCCCCTCTTAAACATAGGTGTGGCCGACCTTCTCGAGTCGGACCCTCGTCCTACCTTTGTCGTCGCACTCCCCTCCTCCTCCTCCCCCGCCACCCCTGCCGAACTCGTATATAGCAACCCGGCTCTCACCCGCGCTTCTGGCCTCCTCGACAAGCTCTTGTCCTCTTCTGAACTAGAAGAGGAAGATTTTTGGAAATGGATTAGCACCATCGACGGCTCGGTTCCGCATTCCTGTTCCCATCACAGTGCATATTGGACCAAAAACGTCCTGCATTCGACATGGGTTGTTGTTAGCTGCAACCTCGCCTCGCCGCCCATGGACATCTCTCGCCTGTGCCTCGACTCACCGCGCGATTACCTCGGCATGCTCCAAAACCATTCGTCCGCGCCACCGACACCGGCCGCCGAGGTGGGTCTCGACTACGAAAAGCCCAAGCCGACGCGAGTTGCCAGCGAGCCGGAATTCAAGTTACCCGACCTCTCATCGGAACAAAATACGTTCCTTGATGTCGTTGAGAACGTGGATTGGAGCGCAACCTCGCTCGGCCCCATGGATAACTGGCCGCCTTACATCCAGCAGACGTACAGCCAGATCCTGTGCAATTCCCAGCCTTCAGCCATATATTGGGGCGAAGACTTGGAGACGATATATAACGAGGCTTTTAGCGAACTCCTCGGGCCTCGCCACCCGTCCGTCCTCGGCAAGCCCATGGCCAAAGTCTTTCCAGACATGGCCGATCAGATCAGGAAACTCATGGATGTCGCCGTCACAAAGCAACGCGCCAGCAACGAGGACGAGACGCGCTTCTTCGTCGAGACGAACAACGGTCGCCTCCTCGAGACGTACCTCAAGTGGTCCATTGTCCCCCTCATCCAAAATCACCGGTGTTACGGCTTCGTACACTCCATCGCAGACAGCACCATGTATCACCTCTTCCGCAGGCGTCTCAAAATGCTTGTCAACATGGGTGACCAGCTCATCGCTGTGAAGGATGTCAAGTCGTATTGGACTAAGCTCATCGAGGAGCTCTCCATCGCCAAGCCTAGCTATGATATTCCTCTGGCCATACTCTACTCCATCGAAAAAGAGGAGAAGCTCGACAAGGAATCCACGAAGCATGGCTTCATCAAAATATGTCACTTGGAGGGCGCCTTGGGCGTATCGGGGGGTCACCCAATTACTCCGAGGAGGCTCCATCTTGGTTATGCCGAAGATGGTCTGGCCACGCAGTTCCGCAAAGCATTGCGCACGAGGCGACCCTTGCTGATCAGCACCGAAGATGGCACCTTGCCTAAGGATCTTCTCGAGGGTATTTCGTGGCGAGGCTTTGGAGACCCTTGCACGGGAGCCATTGTGATTCCGATTCGTCCCACAAAGGACGAGGAGGCGATGGGCTTGTTGGTGATTGGTCTCAACCCTCGAAGACCCTACGACGATTCGTACAAGCTCTACATCCGACTCCTCAACCAGAAACTGACCACGTCCCTCGCCTGTACTGTACTCATAGAGGAAGAGAGACGGCGGGGCAGAAATGCCGCCGAGCAGGCCCGTTACGATCAAGCCATCCTTAAAGAGAAGCTAGCGCACCAGACGCAAGAGGCCATCGAGTACACCAGGCTGTTCCAGACGGTCTCCGAATTCATCCCCAACGGCTTCTCCATCGGGGACCACCAGGGCAACATCACGTTTGCCAACGATCTCTGGTACCGCATCACCGGTTACCCCGAAAGGCCCGCCTCCAGTGCCGGGTTTCTCGCATACGTCGTCGAGGAGGACCGCGAGAAGATTCGAAGTGCATATATACGCTTGAAAAAGACCGACCAAGTGAATTTTGAGTTTCGCGTCCAGGAAGCCGAGACCAAGATGGATGATGCTCGCTCGACGCTGGAACAACAGACCAAAGAGGAGCAGCACAGTCCCAATCCCAACCCGGCCTCCCCTTTCCGCAGCCCCGGGATTGAACGGTCAGGCTTTCTTGTGGAATCGGTCAGGCATGTCATGGCCCAGGCCAAGGCTGAACGTGCCAGGGACGGGACCATCATCCGCACCTTCACCTGCTTGACGGACGTCACGGCTCACAGGAGGACAGCTGACGAGGCAGTGAGACGAGCCCAAGAGGCTGTCAACCTGAAACGTATGGCGGAGCTGGCAACGGTGGGCATGTTCGACATGGATATGACCGGACGGCTGCTCGGTGCAAACAACGTTTTTTATGAGCTGTGCGGCATCGACAAGGTAAATCCCCTCAAGGTCGAAGTCCGCCCTTGGGCCACTTCGGTAGTGGAGGAGGATCTGCCACACCTCACCGAGAGCATCTCGAAGCTCAGTCGGGAGGCCAAGCCACAGGTGGCCGAGGTCCGACTGAAGACGACCTGGATCGCGCAGGACAAGGCGGGGAACAACATCACTGCGCCACGTTGGGTCAATGCGACGTTCATGCCGGTCCAAGACTCGGACGGAGTGGTGCAATCAGTCACCGGCTGCCTCAGCGACGTGTCCCTGCCAAAGTGGCAGCTGGAGCTCGAGACGGAGCGCAAGGAAGAGGCGATCGAATCGAAGCGCCAGCAAGACAACTTTATCGACATGACGTCGCACGAGATGCGCAACCCCCTGAGCGCTATCGTCCATTGCTCCGATGCTATCATCGCTTCTCTGTCCAAGAGCCAGGAGATGGTCGACCAGGCGCGCGAGAGGGCGATCGGGGAGGAGCCAGGAGGCTCGGGACTCGATACGGGCGCCATTTTGGAGCTGCTCGCCGATAGCATCGATAACGCGGAGACGATCGTAGCCTGTGCGCAGCATCAGAAGCGCATCGTCGACGACATTCTCACCATGTCCAAGCTCGATTCGAAGCTGCTTGCCGTTACGCCTTGCACGGTAAACCCGATCCAGATCGGCCAGGAAGCGCTGAGGATGTTCGACGTGGAAGCCCGCCGAGTCGACATTGACCTCAGCATGACGATCGACGGGTCCTACACCGACATGGGATACGAGTACCTGGACCTCGACCCCTCTCGGGTGAAACAGGTGCTCATCAACCTCTTGACCAACGCGCTGAAGTTTACCAAGTCGGGGTCGACGCGCAACGTGTCTGTGTCGATGAAGGCCTCGCTGGAGAGGCCGAGTGACGAGACGTCGGCGGTGACTTTCATACCACGATCGTGCGACGAGTCGGCAGAATACGAGCAACCGGCACTCGAAGGGCGGAAGGACCCCGTCTACCTCATGTTCGAGGTGAAGGATACGGGTCAGGGACTGACGGAAGAGGAGAAGTCGAACTTATTCAACCGGTTCGTGCAGGCCAGTTCCCGGACGCACGTCAAGTACGGGGGTTCGGGCCTTGGCCTCTTCATCTCTCGCAGGTTGATCGAGCTCCAGAAGGGGGCCATTGGGGTTTCCAGCTTGCCCGGGGTCGGCTCGACGTTTGCTTTCTTCATCGAGGCGTACGTACCTTCGGAGGCCAACCGACAGGAGGCGGAGCTGGCGGCGGCGGAGGCCAAGGCCAGCGCGCAAGGGGCGAACACGCCGCCGGTGACGACGGTGCCGCCGAAGGTTCGGGCTCCGTCGGGAATTGTACAGCAGAAGCGTGTGGTGGAGCGCGAGGTCCCGTCGGGGGATCGGCACGATCCGCGCATCGACGGGGTCCTCATCGTGGAAGACAATCTGATCAACCAGCAGATTACTCGACGCGGGCTTCAGGATCGAGGCTTCAAAGTGGACGTGGCCAACCACGGGGTCGAGGCGCTGGAAAAGCTGAACAAGTCCATCGCATTGCGGAACGGCACCTGTGCGGATGGAAGATGTTCGCCGAATGGCGAGCTCCCGAACCACGGAGGCAAAGCGACGCCGCCAACGCCAAGGACAAGGGCAGGATCGCCAGATGGCGGCGCTGCGGGGAGCCCCCTGGCGGGGATCAACATGATCTTGATGGACATCGAGATGCCGGTGCAGGACGGGTTGACGTGCACGCAAAAGATCCGCGAACTCGAGAGTCAGGGGAAGGAGTTTTGCGCGAGCGGAGGACGCATTCCCATCATCGCGGTGAGCGCCAATGCGCGGACGGAGCAGATCCGGCAGGCGAAGATGGCGGGGTGCGACGACGTGCTTGTCAAGCCGTACCGAATGCCGGAGTTGATCGAGAAGATGCAGACAGTCGCGCGGCGTGTGGCGGGGCAGTCAAAACCGGGAGGTGTACCAAAAGTGTAGGATGGGCCCACCCATGTGGGCGAGATACATCGCTGGTAGATGTTCTTTGCCTGTGGCTTTGAGGGGTCTTGGTGTCTGAAGTTTAAGCAGATGAAGGGGGGTTTGTATCTGACGCGGCCGGGGTTCTGAATGACTCTGGCAGCACGAAGCCGTGTGCCAGGAAGAACATAATCACTACCGGAGGTACACTCGGAGGTGAGGAGGACTGAGTGTTTTATCTGGAATTGAGTGAGGAGCTGCTTGAGCGACGGTGGACGATGAAATGCAAAGAAATCATGAAGGAGGATATACCATGGACAGGAAGATGGGGAAGTCACAAAACTTCATGGTTGATCTTTACTAGCCGGCGTTCCGGAAGAGAGATATCATGGGATTGGAGGAGCAAGAACCTTGGTTCTGTTTTACGGAATAGATAACCGTTCACTGTTGTCGACTCTGTTGTTGTTGTTTGTTTTTATGTTAGTATAAGGCACAAACACACTCGGAGGTGTTAACTTTGGACCCCCCTAGCGGAGTGTACTGTAAAGGTCATTTTTCAAGTTGTCCGATGGTTACTAAGGTATAGGGTGGGTAGGTACCTAGGCCCCGTATGGTGAAAAAGATAAGCTTGATTAGGTGATTCTCCGTCTCCCCCACACTGAGATGACGTGGGGAAGAAGTAGATACCAGACGGGGGGCTATGTACATTACCTTAGGTATACCGGGTAGCGAATGGGGGTCAGCTCCTGGGGGCCCATTGCGCGGGGTTTGGCCCGAGAGAAACGAGAGGAACGAGGGATCGAAAGTTGTAACTCCGTAGGCTGAAGTTATTTGCGGAGTAGGCACTTGCATGTTCCTCAACATAATATTTGGCGAGGTAGGTATCAGATCATAGGAACGCATCGTATCTTCCCCACGTGAGACGTGAGACCGGCAGAGAGACGGATAACAGGGTTGGACTCTGCCCCTCAAACCATCATGGAGCAGCGCTATACGGCGTCGTATAATGCCGACGTTTTCCGCAACGGCTTTATCCCGCTCAGGAACCGAGATGTTGACAACGACGTCAATAACACAGGACGAAGTCCCGACGATAAGCTAATTAAGGTACTGTTGATAAGAGAAGATTAATTCCAGTTTTCCATTACCAGTTGTCGCGAAGAAGGGACCGGGAAACCCTAAGGCAAAAAACAAGAATAATAAAACGAACGCAACTCTTCAACCACCATGGCTGACAGGATTCATCGCGTTACCCTGTTCAAGCTTCCCAATAAGGAGCACCAAGAACAGCTCATAGCCTCGTACAGAGTCTTGTCTTCTCAGCAGCAGAGGGCATGTAGCTTCCCCCCCCCTCTCCCCTCCTCCGCTTGCTACTCAGTTGCAAATTGCAAACCACCCCCTCCCCCTCCCCTCTTCACGAAGCTCGATGGGAAGAATTCAGCAGGAAATCAAATTGACAGTTGATCTCCCTTTAGGACGGAAAGCCTTACATTCTCTCCCTCGTCGTCGGCCCTGCCGTCGAAGACGCCCGGTCCAAGGGCTACACGGTGGTCGCCAAGACCGAGTTTGCCTCCCTCGACGACATGCGCTGGTATGACAACGAGTGTCCTGCCCACGCGGCGCTGAAGAAGACGGCCGGGTCGTTTGGCATTGGCCCGGACGACATACTGTCTGTTTACTTTGAACCGGCCCACCTTGCCGTGCTGTGATGTTGCGCGTTCTTTGTGGTCCGGGCTGACATCGGGCGGGAAGATTCAGTGGCGGGAATTCCATGGGATGTTATCTTGTTACTTGTACATTGCAATTGTTAGATTAGACGGCTGGCGAATTGATTAAATCAATTTGAGGTCTGACGATGGACGAAAGAGTGTGATGTGCCAGCCTGACTGGGTTCAGACTTAACGAGGCAGTTATTGACAATGAGAAGAAGATGCTCGTCTGCTACACACTCTACCACACGGGCAAGCCCATCGACAAGCCCATCGACAATCCCATCGGCAACCGATTCCCTGTCTCTTTCAGCTCCCGTATTTTTCGGTATCGTCTATTTGCTGTCGTTCCATCGGTTTATCGTCCGCCGATCGGGGTAGCAGTCCCTCCGCGGCTTTGGACTGTTCGTCAATTCAGTGGCACCTGCGGGCAGGCGCAGCCATGCCTTTTCACAGCGCAGCACATGACACCCCGTTCGTACCTCATCGCATTTTCCGCCAATGCATCGCCGTGGGAAGAAGAGAAGAAGGCCAGGTCAATCGATACCTCCTCTCCCTCCGTCGCTCTCCCTCCCCCCCCCTTCTCTCTCTCTCTCTCTCTCTCTCTCAAGAGTCGCTACCACGGGAAGCCAAGAGGCTCATGTAGACGCCCCAGCCAATGCCAGCAACGCTAGCGACGAGGTTCCGGCCCTGGATGCTCGTAATGAAGGCAAAGTTGACCAGGCTGACGAGGGGCCAGAGGCGCCAGCCGGCGACGAGGATGGGGAAGAACTCGCGGCGGACGCGCGCGAAGATGGCGTCCCAGTCGACGCGGGAGTAGTCGATGGCCGACCCGGACAGGAGGAAGGCGGCCGACTTGGACGGGTGGGCCCAGTGTTCCGGTCTTTGCATGGCCTCCTGCAGGCTGCTCACGAAGAGGGCGAAGAGGAAGGTGTTGACGACGGAGCCGATGGTCTGGTCGAGGAGCGTCTTGACGAGGGTGTTCTTGACGTTGAGCTTGCGATCGCCGGCCGCTGAGGACTTGGCGCCCTTGCCGCTTTGTTGCGGTGGCTTGTCGTAGGCGGGGAAGGTTTGTTCGAGGTAGTCTTGCCTGTTGCGAGAGGGGGGGAAGGGTTTTTTTTTGGTGTTAGGTTTCCGGGTGGAAAGGACAAAGAATGAGGCGAGGCGAGGTGAGGCGCGGCGCGGCGCATTGAAGAGGGGAAACATTGACCGGAACATACCACAGGTAGTTATAGGGCGTGTTCACGATGGCCCAGATGGTGAATTGGACTACGGGCACCCAATCCAGAATGAAGGGTTCCTGGTTAAGGCGTTAGCGCTCCTATGTTTTCTTGTGGTTCTCTCGAGCTCTGAGGCTATGGCTGGCTTCTGGTGAGTCCAGTCCAGGCTGTCCCAGTCCATGCTCAGCCTCGTCAAGGATAGAAAAGGTATCCCGTACATTGGATTGGTAGGATGTTAGGACCTGGGCAATCAGGTTGGAGGTGGCCGAGAGCACTGCAGATTGCAGCGTCGCGTTGACAATCGGTGGCACAGCCATGACGACGATGAATGGGAGGTCGCTTCTCGGGATTTAAGCGATCAACTTGGCTCGACTGAATATCGGAACCCGGTGGATTTCGTGTCGTCGTTGTCGTTGTTTCGTCGCCGTCTATCCGTACAATGGGGAGCCCAGGCGACAGTGAGGGAAGGCATAAAAAGTTACGGATAGGGACAGAGGAAACGAAGTGACGGAAGACCCCAAAGTCGCCCAAAAAGAAAAGGAAGAGTGAAGAAAAGAAGAAGAAGAAAAACCAAGTAAGAGCATGAAGGGGTACAGTACACGGTGCAGGGGGTATAGGTAGGTAGGTAATAAGGGACGTGGGGTGCAGGTCTTTTAAGCGGTGACGGAGGTTGAGGACGGGGGGTAGCTCCTGTTGGTCTTTCTTGGCAGGATGCTGTTAAATGGTGCAGTGAATCTCGACAACCCAGTCTTGGCGGAAGGGATCGTCAAGCCTGCGGGAATGGATAGCTTTTACGACGCTAGATGTTGAGTATAAGGATGCACAGATATAAGATCTAGTTAAACGCCAGTCAGCAAGGTGACACGAATAGTCAATGGGAGAGAATTTGTATCCGTACTCCGTGGAGCTTTGATTCTACCCATCCGAACATCAAAGCCAGCTCTATAGATGGTCCGAATCTATCCCGACAAAAGTGAAATAACGGAGAGAAGAAGCAGCGCCAATTAAACAATACGATTCTCTATAGCCATCACAAAAATTGTGTGCTGAATAGGTATTCAGATCGTCAGCGTACTCCGTACGGATTCGAAGAGGATCAAGAGAGGAAGCCGGATATCGGCCAAGACGGAACGAAGGACCGGAGACGAAACTGTGGCCGATGACAGGAAAGTGGACACCATCAGCCACCCGAGCCACTAAGAGGCTCCCGCGGGCCCGGCAACGAAGTAGTATTACACAGTACCTGACCTGTATTATTCCATAATAATACTCTGTAACATGTACTTCGTCCGACTCTCTCCCTCGTGCCACACTGTACTTCGTATTTCCCACACAAACACCCCCGCGTGGAGGAGGCGGTCATCCTCGTCGATTACTGGTTAAGGTACCTTAATAAGCCCTCCCCTCCACGACGGGTTTTCTCACCGGTGGTGGGTGTATGTACTGTACTTCGTACCGTGAAGCACCACCGGTCAAATAAGGACGGCCAGTACAGTGTAACCGCCATAAGTGAGATCCGGCGCCGAAGATCTACCGCTTAGAGGGGCCCTGAGATACACCGAGATGTCGCTAATAACGACGACAAGGCGAGGCTAACAACAGGACTGAGACGAGGGTCGCATTCCTACAGTGTATTATATTGTGCAATAAAGGAATATTTTCTCAGTTCTATTTTATTTCCATGTTTTTTTTTTCATGTTTCCTTTTTTTTTTTAAAAAAAAAAAAAAAAAATTCTGCCACATCAGCTGCATCAAAAGGAAAGTTCTAACATGGATTCGTCTTTTACATGCAGTGGTGTTTCGAGAGAATACAACGGGCCATGCATCTTGCTCTCTTGTCGTACATCGTCCAATACAAACCCCGGCTTCTCCTTTATCCATCCTTACGCCTCGATAATGTCTCCCTTCGCGCGTGGCCCATCTGCAGACTGAAGACTGACAATGACAACGCCCGTCCCCTTATTGCCGTGCTCTCTATTCGCTAGTCGCGTAACAGCGTACTCGTTCATCATGGCCGAGAAGTTTGCACGGGGTCTTTCCCATCTTGTCATGGCATATACCAGTCTTGGCTGTAGATCAGCAACCCAACTCCAGGCTGCCTGCTAGTCCATCTAATTTTCATCCTTTTCCGTCAAGCGGGCGCTCTGAAAGGTGGTTTTCAAGGCCGTGTCAAGATCCACATGAACAGCAGCTGCACCACATACGAGTAGAAGAACAGGAACTGTGTCCTCTGGTTGCGCTTCGATCGCACGTCTCCCGTTTGAATGGGTCCGGCAGATCCGTGTGCGCTTTCCGGGAGGAGGACGTATTTCAGGGACCGCATCTACGCAGAAAGGCATACCGTAAGCTAGAGCAGCTAGGGGTCTCAAGCGGGGTAGGGGATGGGGCCACAACGTCGACATACCAGGAAGAGCGAATTGGCTAAGAACGTGTACAAGAAGACGGACCAGCCAACCCAGCCGCCGGTGCCCTGTCCGCCGTTGGCCAGCTCGGCGACAGCCACAGTAACAATAATGCCGACGAACTTGTAGCCCGAGTAGGCGATGAGGTCGTAGAGCTGCGAATCGTTGGAGATGCCCAGGAGGTAACACCCGAGCTTGAGCGCCATGATCTCCACCAGCACGATCACCAGCACCGTGGTGGCCGTGAGGCCGAGGAGCTCGGGCTGGAACTTGCCTCCCAGGCCGGCCACGACGGTGGACAGGAGGACGTAGGTGACGATGGCCATGACGGGGATGTACATGTCCGGGCTGTTGACGTCGTCGCGCGGGGGCAAGTACCATCCCTCCTGGCCGTTGGGCCCCACGGCCTGCTTGCGCGACCAGGGCTTGTGCCGCCAGGGGAAGAGGACGAGGAAGAGCTTGTTGATGACGTACGTGTTTGTCACGTTGAAGTAGTGCTTGAGCGCGTTGACGTTGACGTAGCGGTTAAACTAGAGAGACTCAGGCCGCGAAGGACCGTTGATTAGCGAGGGGAAATGGAACAGACAGACGGGCCCGGCGTGCAGTTTTCTTCTTTTCCCCCTCTCCGTTATTGCTCCCAGCCAGCTACGCCGACTACTCACGTTTTGCTCCACGTATTCCTGCCCATGTTTGAAGGCCGTCTGCCCAAACTGTGCTGCCACCTGAGCGGTCGGATCGTTCATAAACTGGCCGTATGCGCCGAAGACGTTGCCTGACGCGCCTCCTTGTTGTTGGTACGGGCTGCTACTATACGTTGGCTGCGACCCGGATTGTGGTACTGGCGGCGGAGGGGATCTGAGTTGGGGGACGGTCGAGACGTGCTGAGGGACTGGGTGATGTAGAGGCGGGCTCTGCCCGTATGTTGGGCGCTGCATCTTGTGGAGGGTGGAAAGGGTAGGGGCGCAGTCGCCTGGTTCTTTACGTCAGAGGTCGTCCCGATTCGAAGGTGATGTCGAGGGTGGTGACGAGGGCGATATCGTCAAGGCTGTCGCTGTCGTGTTTCTGGAGAGGTGTTAATTGGGTACCGTGGTACCTGGGTAAGAGAGTTGCCTGGACCCGGGCACTCAGCTTCGAAGTCGATCCGTATCCGTATACAGACCGAATTTACAATATTAACACTGTATTTGTATGTTCCACATAATGGGCATAATATAAGGATACAGTGCGGAGACGTCACGGAATTACATATTTCCATTGAGGACGACCTACGGACCCATCAATTCTAGAACAATGGACCAGGGCACGAAGTACTTCGTACCTTATCTATCTTTATCGGCTCTTATCGTCTCAGCACCGAGACACCTTTGTCACTCTACCTTAGCCCCTGCGAGTGGCGGATACCTCTAACCTCTGCTCTGGCCTTGCACATATTACGATATTTATCTTGACGACTTACATTGCTGTCCTGGGCCCTGGATAATAAACCTCTTCCTCTCAATTCTTCATTCTGCTTAATTTCCCACCTCTCTATTCTTTTCCCTTCCACTTGCGCTCACAGGCGATCTGCTTCTTGAAATAGCGACTCGTAATGCTTGACGCATTTGAAATCATCACGACCTCAGGTGTCGTCCTCTGGTCAAGGACATTCACGCCCCTCCATGCGAATTTGATCAACAACTTCATCTCCGATGTCTTCATTGAAGAAAAAGGGGCCAATGCCGCTACTCGCGACGACCAGTTATCCTCTACGAACCCTCCATACAAGAGCGACCAGCATACTCTAAAATACACCTTTGTGAAGGAACTGGGTGTCATCTTCGTGGTATGCGCACTTGCCCCTCACCCCTCACCCCTCCATGGCTCGTGTCCCTTGCCTCCCTTCCCTCTCTTTGGTGTATCCTATATCCTGTAGTACGTATCTAGAAACAAACTTGATCTGACCACTCCATTCACCCATCAAGGCCGTCTACCGCTCCCTCCTCCATCTCTCGTGGATAGACAAGCTCGTCGACAACATCAAGACCCTCTTTGTCGACCTCTACGGCGATCAACTCAAGAAACCCAACACCACCATTATCGAATGTCATGGTTTCGATGAATACTTCGATCAACAGGTTAGAGAGTTGGAGGGTTCGGCATCCAAGGGAGCAGCTGCCGTCCCGGAAGGAGCCCTCCCTCAAGAGGAACCCACATTGTCGGGCAACCTAGGCGATGAGCCTCCGCTTCCACCAGGACTACGCTACAAAGGTATGCGCGGACCCCGGCATTTTGCGTCTCCTTTCCTATTCTCCCCTTCCTTCCCTGCGCCGCCTGACTGACGCCCCATTAAACCTTCATGCAGGTCGAGCGCTGAACGGCGCAAACTCGGGCGAGGAGCCGTCAGCCGAATCGACCCCCAACCTCAGCCCGACCACATCCCGACCCTCTACACCCTCTGCCGCCGCCGCTCATCTTGTCGTCGGCAAACCTGGCCCCGGCGGCAAGCTGTCTCGCCGGGCTCGAAAGATGCAGAATGCCGGGGCGAGCCACGGAGCCGTGTCTTCGGGCGACGAAGCGGCCGCTAGGAGGACCAAGCCCGTCAAGACCGCCAAGAAAGGGAGGAAGTGGACCGACGATGGTTTGGCCGACGAGCAAGACGATGTGCAGCTCGACTACTCCATTCCTTCTCAGACTGGCATCGCCGCCGACGCCTCCACCGCCGCTCGCTCCTCAGCCGTAGAACACGTCGACTCGTCTACCTGGGGATCCACCACGACCAAGGGCCAGTTCATCCTTAAGGACCTTGACGACGAGGTCCACGACATCCTGGCTTCGGCCAAGTCCAAGGCGGATGCCAACAACAACAAGTCCACATCAGCCAGTGGCCTCCTAGGCTCCGGCCTCAACACTATCAGCGGGCTCTTCCGAAACGTCGTCGGAGGGAAGACTTTGACCAAGGAAGACCTGGACAAGGCCATGAAGGGCATGGAGGAGCATCTCCTCAAGAAGAACGTGGCCCTCGAAGCTGCTGTCCGCTTATGCGAGGGTGTTGAGAAGGAGCTCATCGGTGTCAAGACGGGCAGCTTTGAAAGTAGGTTCAAAATCCTCCGCTTGCCTGTCGTCCGGCCCTTCCCTTCTTTTTTTCCTCGGCGCCCCAGACTCTTCGTGATGCCCCCCCCCTGCTTTTGCGCGGCGCAGAACAATGTCTAGTCCACTGACACATCCTCTTCCTCACAGGTATCAGCAGCCGTATTCAGTCCGCCATGGAAGCCTCTTTGACAAAAATGCTCACCCCGACCAACTCCCTCGACCTCCTTCGCGAAATTGACGCCATCACCCGTCCCGGTCCTGCCTCTCTCCGCACCCCTCGCCCCTACGTCGTCTCCATCGTCGGCGTGAACGGCGTCGGAAAGTCCACCAACCTCTCCAAGATGTGCTTCTTCCTTCTCCAGAACAAATACCGCGTCCTCATCGCCGCCGGTGACACCTTCCGCTCCGGCGCCGTCGAGCAGCTGGCCGTTCACGTCCGCAACCTCAAGGAGCTGACCATCCGCGAGGGCGGCCACGTCGACCTCTACCAGAAGGGGTACGGCAAGGATGCTGCCCAGGTCGCACGCGATGCCGTCGCCCACGCCACCGCAGAGGGCTACGACGTTGTGCTCATAGATACCGCCGGTCGCCGCCACAATGACCAGCGCCTCATGAGCTCTCTTGAGAAATTCGCCGACTTTGCCAAGCCCGATAAGATTCTCATGGTCGGCGAGGTATGGCTTTGAAGTTGTCCATCCATGTAAATAATACACTGCTAACATGCCTTTCCCTCTAGGCCCTCGTGGGAACCGATTCGGTCGCCCAAGCCCGCAACTTCAACGCCGCTTTCGGCGCCACCCGTTCCCTCGATGGCTTCATCATATCCAAGTGCGACACCGTCGGCAACATGGTCGGCACTCTTGTCTCCCTCGTCCACGCCACCGGTGTGCCCGTGCTCTTTGTCGGCGTTGGTCAGCACTACTCCGACCTGCGTAACTTCAGCGTCAAGTGGGCCGTCGAGAAGCTGCTGAGCAGTTCATAGATGGGCATCGCCATCTATCAATCTATCTTCTTTACCCTAGTACATAAGTGTTAATAATGACCCTTTCTATCCCATGCCTATTTGTCTCATCTTGTGCTGCCATGCCCATCACACCAAAATCCGTAAAACACATAACAAGGATCTGCCGCGCATTCTGCATGAGCTGCCCGCTTGGACCAGTGTTGAGGAGGTGCAGGTTAGCCTTATATAGAGACATCGAGCAAAAGTTTTTGAATAGCATCCGAATTATTACTATATATACTATGGGGCATGGTCATAATATGGCGATGCAAAAAGAGAGCGCGAATGACAGCCAGCAGACGCTGATATTGTATCTCGAGTTGGTGCAAAGCAAAAATAGCAGCAGAGCCAGTTAGCAAAAAAGCATACCAAGCACCACAAGACGCAAGGATGAAAATATCCCCTTGCATCCTTTTCCCCCCTCCCCCTATACAATGTAATCCCCTCGAATATGCAGATAACCTTTCCCCACTTTGTAAAGATACAAATGTCAGAAGAAGAACAAAAGAAACCAGGGAAAACGAGTGGCAAGAAGTGAAGAAAGGTGATCGCACGGTGTAGCTATGACCAAATCTTGAAGCACAGATGTTTCAGAGGGGAGTAGGTATGGTATTATCCCCAGGTAGTTCGTGCGATATGCGGCCTGGGCCTGCAAGCAGACGACAGACATAAGTGATGGTTTGCTGAAAGAGAAAGGGGGTATCATTCTAATGTCTCGCTCTATGTGGGTGTGTGTGGCGGTCGGTGACAATCTCTTGAGTGAGAATTTTGCTGCAATCTCTGTCTCTCTCTCACACTTTTTTTTTATTTAATATTGGTGGACAAATCGACAAAGGAAATGGTGATGTGTTTCGACTTTCTTTAGCAGACGCGATTTAGTCCTCCTGGAAGAAGTCATTCTCGTCGAAATCATGCGGGTTCGCGTCCGAGTCGTAGGCGCTGGGGCGCATCATGGGTGGCGTCATAGGATGTCCCCGGCTCGACCGCCTGGGGGGCGTTGTCTCGCCACTCCGCGGTTGTTTTTCTGCCTGTCTAGAGCTAGCAGGAGGAACTCGCATTCCCTTGGCAAGCTCTTGGGATGTCAAGCGTCTGCCTGTCGCATTGAAAGCCGTGGGTTGGCTTCCGCTCGCATTATTGGGCGGTGTCTGCCGGATCCCGGAAGCGGGAGGAGTGAGGAGGCCGCCGAGAAGACTTCCGGGCGATTGAGCACTCGTAGACTTGGATGGGGTCGAGTTGTTCCTCCCGCCCGGAGCTCCCGCTGGCGAAGAGAGCGCCCCTGCAAGGGTTCCGAAGCTGCCCGCCCTTCCTGATTGCTGCTGCGACTTGCGCCAGTTGCCCCAAGCGGCAGCTAGAGGTCCGACAGCCTGCGCCACACGGGGCGACGCGGCTTGGAGGAGGTTAATCGCTGAGCCGCCGTTCATGGCCCGTTCGCGTTCCTGCTCCTCCATCTGCAGATTGGCCTTGAGACGGATGGCGGCATCCTTCACAGCATCCTTGTTATAGACCTCCGTAGACAGGGCCTGGATGATATCTTGGAGGTCGCTGTGCCGGACAGCAAGGAGCTCACGTAGCCACGTGATCTCGTCGTCTCGCTTGGCAATTTTGCTGGTCGCATCAGGATCGAGTTTTTCGATGCCATGTTCGAGCTCTTCGATGCGTTGCTCGCGGGCCTGCAGCTGCTCCTGAAGGACCATGATGGACTCGCGCAGCGCCTGAGGAGAGATCTTCTCTGGCACACCACCGCTGGATTTCTCCATGCCCGGGGCAGAGGGTGCCGCCGGAACCCCAGCTGAGGCAACAGAAGAAACCTGGGACGGCTCAACCGGAGGGGACTGTGACTTGGCTCTCTTCGCCGCTGCCAGGGCTGCTTCCTTGGCAATTTCGAGTTTCTCCTCCAGATGGGCGACGCGATCCTGGAGATGTTCCGTTTTGGACGCGGACAGGCTGAGACGCTCGAGCAGGTGCTGTTCCGTCCTCTGCCCCTCCTCGATGGTGTTTCCGAGCTGCATGGCATGACGAGTTTGGAGATCCTCAATTTCGTTCTGGTGCTTCTCTGTGAGCTGGGCCACCTCCGAAGTCTTGCTTGACTGAGCCTCCTCCACGAGCATGTCGGCCCTGGCCTTGGCCGACTCGGTTTCCAGATTGGCCTGGTCGAGCTCGGCTTGGAGCTTGCTGATGTGCTCCTCCAGGTCCCGCCGCACCACATTGACTTGATTGTTGGCTTGATCAATCTCAAACTGGAGCGCCTTCCGCGTCCGCTCTACTTCGTTGGCGCCGGACTCTCTGGCTTCCTCAAATTCTCGCTGATAACGCAACGCGGACTGCTGGAGCTGGTGATTTTCAGTGCGCGTCTCGGCGAGAAGACCTTCAAGACGCTTGCACTCGCTGACGGCCCGAAGGCCTTGCCGTTCGCCGTTTTCTAGCCGTTCGATCTCCATTTCGAGGCGCTCCCTGGTACGCGCCTCAGCCTGAAGCCTGGCGTCCAGAACTTCCTGTCGCGCGACGAGGGCCTGTTCCCTCTTTGTCCGTCGTGCGTTCTCCTCGGTAATCTCGCGGGCTGCCTTGGTCATCTCGTCCTGCAGAGAGAGGAACTTGGCGCGCCAGCTTTCCCTCATGCGCTCATTCTCCTGCAGCTGCGTGCCGAGAGTGTCGAGGAATCTCTGCTGCTGCGTGCTCTCTTCGCGGACATTATTGAGGTCAGCCAGGTGACGCTGAGAGATTTCAGAGACACGCTCCGCTTCGGACTTATAGTGGCTGGCTTCCTGCCGAGCCGCACGGAGGTCGTTCTCGAGGACGTTGATCCGGTTTGTAAACTCTGTTTTGGACTGTGCCGAATTGTTCTGGGCCGCCTCAAGAAGCGACATACGCATCGTGGACTTGGCCGTCGACTGCTCCATTGTCTTGATCCTTTTGTTGCGTTCCTCGACGGCCTCGCGGAGCCGGTTCTCTTCCTCGCTCGCGATTCGAAGCAGACGCTGGACCTCAGACAGCCGGTCTTCGGCAGCGCGCCTTGCCGCCACTTCTTCTTCCGTCCGAGTCTCTTGCTGCTTCAGTCGGTCCTCGAGATCTCCCACACGCTGGTCGTAGATGCTGCGGTTCATGATCTCAACCTCCACACGAGTCTCGGCTGCTTGGAGTTTCCTGTTGAGTTCGGCCGCCAACTCTTCGGCATCGCGCCGGTCTTTTCGTTCTTTCTCAACCCGATCGCTCTCACCCTGTAGGCGTGCCTCGAGGTCGACAATCTTGGCCTGGAGCTGACTGAGTTTGTCGTTCATCTCTTGTTGTTCATCGGCTGCGGGCATGCGGCTCTCGATTGCCTCTGTAACGAGATTCCGGAGGTCCTCGCCGGCGGGGAATTCAGGACGCAAGTTGGAGCTCAGCTGCGCCTTGAGTTCATCGAGAGCCGAGAGTACGGCGGTGTCCAGCGTAGTCGCAGCGGGAACCGGCGCTGGTGGCGTGTTCCGCAGATGAGACTGAAGGGCGTCGTTGATGACTGCACGCATCTGCTCAATCCTCCTATCTCTCCTGGGGCTGATCGACCGGCGCATGATGGGCTCGTCGTCTTCGTCGTCGGCATCACTTTCTTGGTAGTCAAAGGAGACACTACGACGTTCACGGCCGGAAAAGGCTGCCCCCCTGGCAAGATGACGCTCGAGCAACGCGAGCGTCTTCTCGATGGGCTGCAGCCGTGCGTCAAGGATGTCGCCGACCTGAGCATTGACGCGTCCGTCGAAGAACTGGACACGTTGCTCCAATTTCTCCTGCTCGTCATCACTGAATGTCCCGTCCCAGTCACTATTTGCAGCACCCTCACTTCCATTTAGACGATAAATGGGTGGCTCGATAGACCGGGCGGTCTGTGGAGGATCCACAAAAGGATCCTCCAGTTCTGTGGACGGCCTGGGCACGCCAATGTTGGGGAGCTGTTGATATTTGCGCGGACTGGGGCTAGGAGCGTCACTTCGGAGCTGAGTGGCAGGCTGAAGATGGTAAGGCGATGAGTTGGTAACGGCGGCGATCGACATCTGCTGGCTCGGGCTAAGCTGACGCCACGGCGGTTCCTCCGCAGAAGCTTTGTTGACACCCATGGTCGGATCGTTGAGAGCGATATCATCCATGATCGCGTCGATCTCCTCAAATGTCGGCTCACGGTGCTCGTCCCTTGTCGCATCATCGCCAGCATCTCGGACGAGATCATTGGATGGTTCCTGAGTATCAAAAAGATTCTGATCAATGTCTTCCGGTTTGGGAGTGAGCGTTTGAGCAGCGGTCTCCGCAGTTTCTTCGGCTTCCTGTTCCTGCGCGACTTCTGGTTCTGGCGAAGGAGAGGCGAATCCCGACGCTATAAGACCCTTAGGCTTGGGCGGCGGCGAGGCGAAGCGCGAGGCCCCGAGACCCTTGCGTAGGGTACTAGTTTGAGCGGGCGGAGCAGACATGTCCGCGATTGGAGATGGCTGTCGCGCTTCAGTGAATGCGGCCTGGGGCGGCGAGGGGGGTTGCTCTATCGGAGCGGAGGTCTGCCAAGCCGGGGGTTCGACGGTAGCCTCCCGTTCTTGATGGTCCTCCTGCTCCCCCTGATGCTCTTGCTTCTCCTGATCCTCCTGCTCCGATTCGGGTTCCCGTGGAGCCACCCACAAACCCCCGGGAATGAAGGCCCTGGCAGTTGCCGACAAGCTCTTCTTGTGACCCTTCTTGATGCGGTCTTCGCCGAACGGACGGGCATCATTGAATTCGCGCGCATCCGAATTGGACTGGAATTCGAACGGTTTCCAGCTCATCTGGGAACGGCCTTGCGAGGCGTCTGAGGGGCTGCTGGCCGTAACAGCCTTCGAGTCTGCGAGATGTTCCGAAACTGTGGAGGACATAGTCGTGTCTGCAGTGACGCCTTCTTCGTCAGTGGACCGGATGCCAGAAGCTGCGAGGTCCTCTTGGCCGAAAGACGCCATAGGCTTCATAGTCTCGGGTTGAGGAGAGGGTGTGGGGTCGGCGAAACGAGGAATAGAGTCCTCGTCAGCTCTAAAGGCCTTTGTTCTCTTGACACGAGATTCATCATCGGCAATGCGGTCGTCGGCGCGATCGTCGGCGGGGGTCTGCTGACGAGACTTGTTGTCGCTACTCGATGGGCGGATGATGGGGATCGCCTTGGACTTCTTAGCGGGATTCACGATCTCAGACAGGTTGAGATTGCCGAAGATGGCGTTAGGGCGGGTCTTATCAGCCTCGCTACCAGAAGCAGGAGGGCTACCGAACGAGCCCGACAAGACACCAACTGGGGTGAAAGAGGGAGCATCCGGCCGGAATTTTGGTCCGGAGGCGGTGAAGTTGAAATCGCCGTGGCCTGGAGGGAATGCCAAGGCATTCAAACTCATTGGCGAGGAACCAAAAGCGAAGGGAGGAGGCGGTGGAGCGACGGGCGGCATGAACGGATCCGCAGTTGGGTGGAATATCGGCGGCGCATGATCGGAGACGACATCGAAATTGGCGTTACTATTTCCAAAGACGAACTGCCCGCTGGGCTTGAACTCCTTGTTCGGGTCGAACTTGAACTCTGGGGCGTTAACATTGAGTTTGGAGATAGAGGGCTTGCTCCCGTGGCTCGGCCGCCTCTGCGTGTCGGAGCTGTTCATCCTCGGTGCCGGCTCATCCCATGGATTGCTGGCGGTCGAGAAGGAGCGCTGGTGCTGTTGCAACAAGGCCGCGATGTTGAAGTCTTGGACAGGAGTGCCCAGGTTGCTTGGGTTGGTCTCAATCTCAGCCACGTCTTCAGCCTTTTGAGCATCTATGTCCTGCCAAGCCGAGAAGTGGTTCATGTTACCATCGTCAACGGTGTGGCGAGGTTCCCCGTCGAAGAAATTCTTCTTCGTAAGGGAATGACCGCGGCTGTGAGGGCGCGGGTGATGGAGAACAGGCCCGTCGCCAACGGTATTGGCGAAGTGGAGGGGAGCTTGAAACTGCACCGATGACGCTTCTCTGCTGTGGGCAAGAGACGATTTCTCGGAAGCCGAGGGGATTTGGACGGGGTCAGAGTCTTCAGGTTGCCTATCCGTGTGATGCGGACTGTAGTCAGCATGCTCAAGTTCGTTGCGCATCTGCTCCTCCAGATGATACTCGGCTTCGTCGATTTCGGCTTGTAGATCGTCGTTGCCGTTAATATTCTGTAGGGGTTCCGGTGTTTTGGAGGGACTCTTGCCGATCGTCTCCTCGTCGACCTCCTGGACCTCTTGGAGGCGAGGGGACGCCCCGGCGGGCGGCTGTTGGACAAATTGCTGATGCGGCAAGATGGGGTACTGCAGCGACTGGTGCCGTTGGTGCATATTCAGAGCCGGGCTACCGGAAGGTTGGAAGCCTTCGGGCATGAAAGGTGACATGGGCGATATTATACCGTTCAATAAACCTGGCGAGTCGGTGCGGCCAGTTGGGTGAGACATGGGCCAACCCGACAGCGAGGGCGAAGGCTGGTGGTGGCCTGGCTGGAATGGCGAATGGCCCATGGGTATGGAGATGGACTGGCGGGGGTTGAATTTGCCCGGGGCTCCGGTGAACGACACTGGCGAAGCCACTGACGGAACCCCTGGGCTCTGTGCGGCGGCGGTCGACAGCCCGCCCGGAATGAACTGCGGCGGGAAAGGGAAGCCATGGGCAGGATTGCTCGATGCCGACGACGTAGGCAACGGCGGCGAGAAGGGAAGGGCAGGATATTGGACAGACGCCTGGCGACTGGGTGCCGATGCTGCAGGAGAGATGGACGTAAGTGCCGGCTCTTCATCATCGCCGAAGGACACGCCGAGAGCCCTCAGTTTAGCTTCGTTTAGCTCGTCGACGTAGTTTTTCCAAGCTGCATTGGTGAAAGTAAGATGGTTATTAGCACAGTTTGCTCCCGACTTAAAAATGATTGACGGTTTTGCATCGTGGCAACTTACCATTCAAATCAGGCAACGTGATTTGGTATTCCCTGTTTGACCTCTCCATGGTCATATCTTCCGCAGAGGGCCAGCTTGTCCTACTCTGCGCATAATTATCGGTAGACAGAGAGAACCCGGTGTCCTCTAGGTCAAATCCGCTGATGCCGTAGCCGAGCTCTTCCCAGGACCGGAACATTCGCTCCGTCTCCTCGGCGGTCAAGGGGATGGGGGCCTTTCCGGGCTCTCCTCTTTCCTCATCCCGGGGAAGAAGAACGACGATATTTTTGCCCTTCCAGGGGACCTTCTTCCTGGCGCGGGGCGTCCGTGCAGGCTCCTTGAATGTAACCTTTGCCGGAGTTATGGGCACCTTGGGCTCCTGACTCGCTGCGGCCGGCTTGGTTGGGGTTTCTGGGGGGGCGGGGTTCTCCTGTGCCGGAGTTGGGGCCTTGTCGTCAGCCACGGCAACAGGAGTGGCGTCCTCCGGCTGCGGAGACGCCATGGCTGCGGTAGAAGCGACGTTCCCCAATTTTGCGTTATGCTCGGGTCTCAGAGTTTCGATGCTCGACCGTTTCCGCGGATGGTGGGATGATGCTGGTCTAGGGGCGGCACGCGAGGTGGTGGGAATGGTGGCGCGTGGGGTCTGCAGGGTATCCTTCTCTAGCCAAGGGTCGTGGTCGTCTTCTCCGGAGTGGGAGCCGCTCAGTGAAGAGTGCTCACTATCGTCGTAGTCGCCGTCGCTCAGCCAGTGGCGACTTTCAGAATTCTCGCCAGCTGTGTGTTGGCGAATCCAGTCCTCGGTCAAGCCGCGAGCGGGTCGGCGGGCACGGTTGGCCAGGACCTGAGCGGCACTTATGAAGCTTTCCGAACGGTTTGTCTCGGCCGGGGTAGAACCAAATGCGGGTGGTGGACGAAGGAAAGGGGTGTGGAGCTCGAGATGGTGAATTGGAAGGTCGTCGTCTTCCGGCTCGCTGTTGCTGGCACTGTCGCTCTGAAAATGATGACTTTCGCGATGGGGATAAGGGGAGCCCCAACTTGCGGTCACGTAAGGGTCTTCGTCTTCTTGATGATCGGAGTGTTCGGCTCTCAGCAGTTCCTGTGCCCGCCCAGGTAGTCTAGGCGCTGGGAGTGGCGGGAGCGGCGGCGAGGAGCCGATCTCTTGGTCGTCGGCAGCGGTGGAGGCAGTCGAGAAAGCGGGAGATTGAGGGGCCTGGGAAGGAGAAGAGGGATGATTGGGCAGTCGGGGCGAACCGATGCCGTCCCGGTGAGAGGGACTAGAATGTAGAGACGGGGACGCGTTGGGTGACGTTTTCGTAGAAACTAGACATCGGGACGCGGCCACAGATGGCCACAGCGGCGGGTGAGTTCGCTGTGGAAGTAAGATGGTGAGTTAGGACGATGAACTCACCAAAGCGAGCTCAGTGCAGACGAAGGATGAACCGTCTGCGACCGAGGCTCTGTTTGTATCGTCCGGCGTCGGATCTTCTTCTTTCAGGTGCCCTTTCACTTTATTCACTTGCTGATCCGATAGGCTACAGCAAGCAAATAGACCCAACGAGTAAATTCAAGGCAATGCTCGTGGAGAGATTGAGCGTGAAAAGGGGGGAAGGGTCGGTGATGCGTCAAGGGGGGGGTATCTTGGGATTGAGGTCGTCGCGACGCGTTCCTTTCCCGGTGCCCCGAGGAGGGGAAAAGAAAAAAAGTTGCTTTATTTCCGCCCGTAAAGGGGAAAAGACGTTGCAGGCTTGAGAATCTAAAATTAAAAGTACGGCTTCGGAAAACAAGAAACGGGGGAAGACCCGTGTCGAATCAGCAAAGGCGAAACGACATGAAGAGGGAAAATCGATAATGTACGACGACGGCCAGACGCATCGGATGGCTTGTCGGACAGAAGAAGTGAGGAGAAGTTGAAAGGGGATGAGAGATGGAAGGATAGGACGAGAGCAAAATGTGAAGTCGAGGTGAAAGTGCAGGGGTCAAGGGAAGAGCGATGCGACTGGAAGGGAAAGTGCAATGGGTCGTACCGACCGACTGGGGAGACTCGAGATGAGTCGAAGTACCAGATACTCGAGTACTTGTAGCAGGAGTCCGCATATTAGTGAATTTTCAAGCAATTGGATAAGTACCGAGTACTTTGTAATGGCTTCGCCCACATCATCGCGTCCGCGTCCACCCAACAATGTGAAAGAAAGAGCTGGGGGATGATCGTAAACCTGCCACTTCCCATTTCCTGTCTCTCACGTATAAGTTACGACATCACTTTGTATCTCGTTTGTAACCATATGCCCGTACTTTTCTGTGATGAATGAAGCTATGCAATTGCAATTATTCGCTTCAAGTCTTTTTGGAGTCTTTTAATACCTCGTAATTTCCCAGCACCAAAATAAAACGCTCGGGCCAAGTCTAATTTCGGTGGAAGTCGTCTGATGGTGCAGCCCATACTAAGGTACCTACCTACCTTAGGCACTTCAGCAGCCATCACGCTCTAATTACCTTAACAGCGGAATCCAGGTACCCGTTCACGCGCCGTCCCTCTTAGCGTTGGTCCAACCCAGCTTTCCTTAAGGTATCCTCCTTCCTATACTCCCTAAGGTAACGAACAAAACGTACAAGGTAATTAGGTATAATTGTTAATTAGGGTGTATCTGTACGGAGTACGGAATAATGCGGAGTGCGGCGCAACGTGCCTAATAAGGTACCTTACCTTATTCGCTTTGTGTTAAGGTATGGGATTTAGCATTATCATAGTACTTGGTATTTTAGTATTGTAAATTTGGAATATTTTATTTGAATGTGCTTTTTCCCTCTTTTTTTGGGTCCCTTTTACATCTGCAACCCTGAGAGTGGGTTCGCCATGTCATCGTTCACATTCCTTCCCCGTCACATTAACGAACAACTCAACCGCTGCCACGTCGACAGGATGGATTCAATCGTGTGGTCACTGGTCCCTCTCTACCCAGGGCCCCCACCTGTTCATGTATTTCTTTCTCGCTGATAACTCTGGACCAGGGGACTGGCTAAATAATAAACACATGTAATGCTTCATCCGTCCCTTCATACCTGATCGGATCACGGTAAAGACATCGCGGGTGGTTTCAGTCTATATGGCATTCGGATGGAATAGCAATGTGCACCCACCCCCCGACGAGAATCCAGAACAGTCTCCTCGGCCGCGTCCAGTTCACTTGAAATTCGAAGCCAAAGAATATGCCATGACCATGTTCCTCGGGGTCCAGTGACATGATCCCAGCCGAGAAGCGTGCGTAAATTCCACTAGCGGCCGCTACATTGTGATACATGGGCAGCCAAAATCAGAAGCAATACCTAAGGTAAGGTAGGCAGCGCTTTGAAACGGTAGGACATGGAAAGGGTGATGGCACACGCACCTTGATACAGGGCGCGGGAAGTTACTGTAGGCATCGCCCATGGGGTTACCCTCCAACCTTCACTTTTATCGTGAGCCCGGACTCGTGCATCACCAGAGTCTTGCCCCCCGGGCAACGACCATGCCCGGTGCAGGGTGGTATCTTTGACTCGTCAGGTGCAACAAGACGGCGACGGCTTCGAACGTCACGCCCGCAAATTTCAATGAACAGAGTCAATGGCCAGCGGCATCTACCCACGTTCTGGAGGTACTGCCCCTGCGAAACGCCACGATCACGTCGTGGTCACAGAAACAGAACATGGCCGTGGAAGCTGTTGTGGGGGTGGGATATGAACTGTCCGAGGCCCGGACCGACACCCTGCCCAATGGACAGTGGAGTACGTTGCTACGATACTTGCGGGGAAACGCCTTCTAATAGTTACTAGTTACGTTACCAGTTACCGGTGAGCGGTCGATGTTGAAATACCTTACTGACGAAGAACATGGTTCGTGACGACGAGGTGGCGGTAAGCCGGCGCCAGTGTCACCAACCGCCGGTGGTTAGGAGATACGAGGGCCAGGGGATAAATCGAATATTCAGGTTCAGAGGTGAGCTAGTTATACCCTAATCTCACAATGCACATTGAAAGACCGGACGGATTGCTCATTACCTGACCCCCTTTGGAGGTCTAGCAAGGAGATGCTCGTTGTCTGAAGCGGCGGCCATGGCCCAGTTTATATTCCACGTAACAGAACCCGAAAGCCATAGCCACGAGATTTACAATTTCGCCCTGCTTTGCAGAGTTCCAAGGTTGCAATGCAGGGACACGTTCGGTTGAGGTAGGGTAACATAAAACCCGGGATGATGAGATCATGCAGCCGTGAAAGACTCTACGTGGATCGAACCACCCAAAGCTCTGGTAGCGTAGTTGAAGATGCCAAAGCGGTAGGCGATGAAGAAGGCCCAGCCATCATACAGCTCGTAGGTAGAGCCCAGCTGCTGGAAGTTCTCTCCATCCCAGCTATAGAGGAAGTTGGCATCCCGGGATCCAGAAGGCCGAGTGTCCAATTCGGCTCGCAGCCAGACCTTCCTCGTGCCGGCAGGTACCGGCGCAGTGGCCACTTCGTAACCGGAATCGACGTGGTCCCCGCTCCATTCGTCAATGACCAAGTTGTGCCTTGTGGTGAGCGTGTAGTCGTCGCCGCTCCGACGAACAGCGATGTAGGCGCTCTGGTCACGGAAGGCGGCCAAACCCGCCAGGTCGCCGTCCGCCATGTTGGCGAAGTCGATCTCCACGGTGCCCACAGGGAACTCGCCATGGGTGCGGTGCGTGAGGGTATTCCGTGCCGCGTACAGGTCGTTGGTCACGCTAGCGGTGCGGAGCGTCAGGCCGTCATTGACCACATAAGCGCTGTCGTCCGGGTTGTGATTCCACTCCCACGACGGGTCGAGGGAGGTGCCCTCGAAGAAGTCGGCCCGCGTCCAGTCCTTGGGCGGCTCCGCGTACTCGGGATGGGGCACGGGGTACTCGGTGCCCCAGCCGCCGTTGTCGCCGGTTACGAAAACGGGGAAACCGTCGTCGCCCCATGTAATTGGAGCCAGGACCGGAAGCCGGCCGGCGGGGTACGCCCAGGTGAAGGACATGAAGTACCAGTCTCCGTTGGTCGTCTCGATGAGGCTTCCCTGGTGCGGCGAGTTACCGCCCTGCAGAGGCGGAGTAATGTCCTGGACGAGGATCTTGGATTCGTAAGGGCCCCATGGGCTTTCAGACTTCCAGATGTACGTGGTGCCGCCGGGCCTGTCGTTGAGGATGTAGTAGAGACCGTTGATCTTGTACATGCGGTTCCCTTCCAGACTGTCGACGCCAACGTCGGAGATGCCGAAGACTCTTTGCTTCCTCACTTCGCTGAAGCCGTTTGGTGAAAGCTGGGCCACATGGACGTCTTCGGATCCGTGGACGACATACATGGTATCGTCGTCGTCAATCAACAGGCCGTTGTCGTAGTAGCAGTTGCCATCGCCAAGGTTACCATTGTTCGACCAAGGGCCCTCGGGAGACGGGGCGGTGAAGACCCAGGTGTGGTAGAAGTTGATGCAGCCGATCCAGTACCAGAGTCCGGTGCTCTCGCGGTACCGCAGGGTCGAAGCCCACGTGCCTCCGCGATAGGCATAGTTGCCGTTAGCGGGGAGGTCGTACCCGTCGCCGAAGGTCAGGCGAGGGAGAGAATGGCCGACGACGTCCCAGTTCACGAGGTCATCGGAGCGGAGGATCGGCGCACCAGGGCTATAGTGGAAGTTGGATGCGGAAAAGTAGTAAAACCCGTCCGGCCCTACAAACACGTCGTTGTCGGGGAAATCCGAGTAGATGAGGGGATTGCTGAATGTGGCGTTGTCCTCACACGACGCTTTCGCCGGTAAAGGAGCGGCGGCGAGGAAGACGCCCAGGAGCAGGACAAGTCGATCCATGGTGACTGTCATACGGGCAGGAACCGAGTCGATGTCAATTGATAGGAAGCGCTCCTTCGAAGGTCCGAGGGGGAAAAGAAAAAAAGGAGGGGGACATTTCTTTTCATTGCCCTGCGATGCTTGTCTTGACGGCCGACACAACTCACCGTTCACACAACCCGCCTGCTGTCAACACCCCTAATAACCACCCCCCTTTCAGAGTCACATTGCTTCGTCATGGTGGCTACAAATGCTGGTCATCTCGGGCCTCTAGTTTCCGGATTGCTTTAAGCGTAACGGAGGCAATTAAGGCTAATAGATCGAAACGGCTTTCGCCCGTTCGTGGCCAAGAGGCATGACGGCAGTTTTAAACGTCGGGGTCGGGGATTTCCCACATTAATCTTCGCGTCCAGTACATGTGATATCACGTGATTCATCGCCGTCCCCGCCTGCTCATATGCGCTCCAACCGAAGGACTGACTGATATTTTGGGAGTACAAGCCATAATGTACTTAGTGTTCAGCACGGAGAACATACTACCTTATCCATACACCGGATGACCTACGGAGAAACAAAGTACCTTCGATATGGCACTGTGTGGAGGCACTGTTAAATTCGGATAAATTCTGAATCCACTTCCATCATGCACAATCCACCTCGGCAATTGAGGTACCTAACTACCTTACCTTGTACTCCGTACCGGTATGGACTGGGTGTCGCGAGGGTAGTCCCACCAGTTCCACAAATTCCACTCCCGATATCAAGCATAAAACACCTTATACGAACTAATGACTTTGTAAGTCTTCAAGTCTTCAAGGCGATCTTGACAAAGTTAACCCGGTCACGTGATATATTGGCCCCCTTCCGTATACTAATAATAAGGTCACGTGATATATACCCCCTTCTGTATACTAATAACCAGGTCACGTGATATATTAACACCCTTCCGGCCTGTAGACCTCACCCGACCATTGTTACTGGCTTGGCGAGCAATGGTCGGGCGAGGTCTGAAGCCTATAGTAATGGTCAGGTCAGGTGAACTTTACGCTAGCAGGGGGGTAGCACAGGGGCAATGGTCAGGTCAGCAGGGGGGGGCAATGGTCAGCTGAACTGCAACCTCAAAGAAAGAAGGACAATAAACAGGACGAGACGGGAGTCGAAGAGGTAGGGTCGATATTCTATCAAAACTAATGCTACTAGCCACCTTTCCACGGACAGACAGAATCTTCAAGACAAGACGACAACAGAACAAGCCTTTCTGCCTTGACCTCTTCCACATCCCGCAGGAACCTTTCAGGAACATCCACCACTCGGTCCCTGATGAAATCGGCGAAACCCTTGCCAAGCGCATCGAGAAGTCGACACCCACTGACACCACGCCCCAGCGGCCCGTAGATGACAAAATGGACCGCCAGGATGTTGGGGAACTCGACCCGTTCCACGAAGTAGCATCCTTCCAGTCATCCGCTTCCAGGACCTCTTCCCCCCCCCCAAAAGGTCGCCAAGGCGGCCGAAGCGAGCGGCTTCAGCGGCGACACAGAGACATTGCCACATAAACAGGATATCGCCGGTCATGGTTCGCTTCTTGCACTCTCCCAAATACGCCAAAACCCTCCTTGCCCTTAAGTATCACAGAAATAATCAAAGTTGGCATCCGAGCTCACGAGAGCCGGCTGAGGGTCGTCTTCGAAACTCGTTCGCGTCGCCTGGGGGATGCTCGCCTTGCACCGGTCTATGTCATGTCCCCACGGATGATCAGCATACCTACACAAAAAGCAGCGCAGAACAATGGATGCGGCTACGATGGCCGGGAAAGACAAGGGGGAGTGAACAAACCATTCTGCTGGTCACAATCACGGACCTCGTGGGCACCTCCTCCATTGTTCGCTGCCTCGGCGCAGTTATTCTTCTGGAGGTCGCAGGCTCGGTCCGCAGCTGTTTTGAAGTCGGGCTGGCCGGAGAATTAGTTGTCATGTCAACATTCGTATCAAGGCGCAAAAAGCAAAAAGGGTGCAAAAGGGATGGGCCGGTCGTACGAAAGTATCACCCTCAACGAAGAATGGTCTGTCAGGATTGTCCGACTGCGTAATCTATTACCCCCATCAACACACACGAGTCAGTCCGGATTGCGCCAAATAATAGATATGGGGAGTTCCTCTCTCTGAAGAGTACTGTGATGGAATCTGGATCGTACCGCAGGGGCCGAGGCGCCGCCTATGGACTCGCCGAAGAACTGTAGGTTCTGTGCAGATTGCCGTGCCCGCAGGCCCATTTGCCAGCCAAAGTGCATTTCCTCATGCAGACCTTCGTGGATGTCCATGGACAAAACTGCCGTCGACATGACGGCGAGCGCGACTGCTATGATGCTCGTCCATCGGAATCGTGATAGCATTGTCTTGTCTTTCTTTCTTTTTTTTTCTTCCCTTCTTCAGGGTTTCTTCTCCGTCACGGGCCGCGGCGCACGGAAGACCAGTAATCGATGCTAGCTGGCGATTATTATAGCTGGGATCGAGAATCGCGGGTGCCGGACGCAGGGAAAGTGGCGGGTGGGCTGAGAGGAAATCTCACAATATCTTCGTCTGGAGGACTTCGCAATCAAAATCGAACCAGCGACAGGAGCAAAAAAAAACCCCCCAGGAAGCCAAGAGTTGATTGTGAGTTTAAGACATGACCCCGGAAGGGGCTTGAATCCACGAATTCGCTAAGGACGTCGGACTCGTGATCCGAAACATCCCTGAGACGCCGCGCAACTTGGTCTGGTTTTGGAGTTGGGGGTGCACGTGACATCCTCGGACTTCGGGAAGACATGAGAGGATGGTCTCGTCTCGATCTACTTATTCCATTCAACCATGCTCCATGCTTTATTTGCTCGGAATGACCCCAAGGCCATATTGGTTATTATACACTTCAACGTCCTCAATACCTGTAGTTCACTTGGACGGTGAGTCTGGGCTGAGCCGTCAAACCATTTATGTATTTATTAATTCTATCAATTTGTACCATAACGTGCACGAGTGGTGTATGAAATTGTGTGCGTATTTGCTGTGTGCTATTTGCTTCCTCCTTGTCAATGTAGCAAAATATGACTCGGGGTATGTACGCATGCAGAGGTAGGAAAGACGAAAGAGTACCATTAGTTTAAGGAAGATCGCAAAGAGCGCAGTCTTGATGCAATTCGCCAAGTCAGGCTTCCGTAAATGCACGAGCCGCCTCTGATGCCATGTTGGAGAATGAAGAAAAGGAGGGGGGTCAAAGAGGGAGGAAAGATGTAAAAGAGAAAAGGAAATGTCGGTACGGTCCACAACTCCCACATGTTGTCGGGGATGCGTATCACCGAGAGAGAAAACAGAGAACGCCCATCCCTTGTTCAAACCACCCCTCGCCACTCTGCCTCTCCAAGCCCCGCTGTTCCTAGGGAGCAACGCTTTCTTTAAAAGTTAGAAGAGGCATTGACTTGGCTCGGCTGGTGATAGTTCTCGAGCGTTGTCTGGAACGGGGTGCGGCCGGGCCCGGCAGCCGGGGCGGCGGTCGACCCGGACACGGCATCACTCTTGGGATCGCTGTTAAAAGCGCTTGTGCCAGCCGTGGTGTAGTCCATGAGCTGATCGTTGTCGTCGTTGCGCTTCTTGCGGCCCCAAAGACGCCAGCCGACGAAGGCCAGGGCACCGAGGATGACAGCTCCGCCCACGCCGACCAGGACGCCGATCAGGATGTTGCGGTCCCTGGTCGGCATGCCGTCGTTGCTGTCGCCGGACTCGCCGCCCACGAGGTCGGCGGGCGTGTTGGTGGTCACAATTTCGGACGTAATGGAGGTCGGCACACCGTCGGTGTCGGTGGTATAGATGATCGTGGTGATGATCGATGTGACCGGCTCGGCCGTTGATGTCGGCGACGTCCGCGAGGTGGGAGTCTGTTGGTCGTCGTCGTCATCATCGTCGTCGTCATCGCCCGAGGCAGGGGTGCTTGTGGTGGACGTGGTGGTAGTGGTCCGAGTTGGGGGCGCGGAAGGCTCGGGGGAGGGAGTTGGCTCGTCATCGGGCTCACTCGCGGAGGTCGGCTCGTCGCTTGTGGCAGGGGGCGTCGTGGGAGATGTCGGCCGAGTGGTAGGCTCAGTGGTGGTGGTGGTGGTGGTGGTGGGGGGGGGCTCCGTCTCGCTGGTGGGAGCAGGATCGTCGCCAGGATCGGAGGGCGTAGGCGGAGGAGCGTCATCTGATGCAGGGGGTGATGCGTCGTCGTTTTGTCGTAGACGGAGGCTCATTCGTTGTTCTAGCCTGGCATCGTTGCGGTACGCAGCCTGAGTGGCGGCGATGAAGCCGATGGCCACCAGAAGTAGATGAAAAAGCTTTGCCGGGTACATGGTCTGGCGAGGTTGGGTTGATGAGGGATTCGAGTGAGGGATGGGTAGGTGTCAGGAGACCTGGGGAATAGCCGGTGCCCCTATAACACGAGTGCTGGCAGACAGATCGACCACAGAGATGCCGTAGCTTGTATCGGAAGTTTATTTATTATCAGGGTGCCTGCACGAAAGATAGGCACTGGGCGTCCTGCAATCGACGGAGGGAATGGACTGGTTGGCTGTCGCTTTCTTCGACGACGTTCGGCTGTGACAACAATCGAGGGTAACAAGGAGAAGGTAAAAAAGGGGGTAATGGGATACGCCGTTTATGGACAAGCGGAAGCAAGCGAATGTCTGAAGGAAAAAGAGCGTTGGAGAGAAAAGGAGAGAGTTGCTAACGGAGTGTGATGCTGATGGAGGTTTGGTGGCGGGATGCAGCAGCACAGGAAAAGGCAACAACGGCGTGTCACGAATGGGATGAAAAAGAAAGACTTGAGTCCCTGGAGCTAGACACGTACTAAGCAGGATATTGGGGGTCTCGTATTCAACGAAGGTGGGTCCATATATCCAAGAGAGTGGACCTGTTGACAACTGGGATTGTGTACCTATTTGTACAAGGTACGGCCAGGTACGAACCGAGTTGGATGCCTTTTATAACGATCCGTGCAGACACATGACCTGCTGGTACCTAGAGGTTAGAGCACCTATTAAGAACGTACATGGTAGTTTCGACCCTGATCACTTTTTATGCAGACTTTTATGCCAGCAATACACTAATAATCCAGAGTAATACCCACAGAACAAAAATCAAGTTGGACAAGGCCCATAATTACATGTCTTGGTATGTACCGTCTCTTAGGGAGCTCGGTCTGTTCCTGACTTCTACACTACCTTAGTGTTGAATTAACGGAGTAATGTCCAGTAATATTTCGTAGAAGCGGCTTTCTTTTTAAGGAGTATGCCAGTGGGGTGGACGAGGTCCCTTGCAGACTCGGCTTTCTCTTCTTTTCCAGAAAATTTCAATCTCAGAGTTGCTGACATAAGACACGACACGCTGAAGCTTCGCCACTGACCCAAAAGGGGATCTTCGTGCCTACGGGCCACGAAGCTTGGCCCGGGTTTTGCTCCATCCCCACCTCCCTTGGCAACACTACGGCCGAGTCCAGATCCGACGACCAGGGCCAAAGGAGAGTTGTTGAGTTGATGGAGTGCAAGACACAGAGGAAGGGGCAATAGAGTCATGATTGCATCCTACTGCAAAACTCCAACTGAATCTGCGCCGGCTGGCAGAAGGACCTAAGTTCTCTGAAGGACGGGAATCGGGATGATGGATCTCATCCTATTTCGAGGAACAAACCCACCTCCAATAAAACATGCAGAGTTCCTGGCTTCTGTTTCTTCAAATCCATGCCTCGCAAGTTGGGCAGGAGTATAAAGTAAGGTACGTACATAAGAGGAAAGATAGACCTGTTGAGCCTCAGCTTCCTCGAGTTTAAGTTGAAGCTGCTAGGTGGCTAACATGAAGAAGTGACTCGTCATCATACCCAGCGGGAATCCCCTCCTGGGGGTGAATATAAGTCTTCAAATGACTTATATTGGGTCATTTTTAGGATATCAACCCCATGCTCCTCTTCCCGTTCCGCACTACCCAAACACGTTTCATTCGAGCGCTTCACTCGGGTTCCCTGATCTTTTAATGTCCGTTAAGTTTCTAAACTTCTCGGCAGACATTTGCTTGTTCTGGATTTGCCCTGATTTCGACCGACCATTGACGAAGCGCTCTCGCGGGCAGCTGGACCCTTTCTTCCCCATCTTGGCCCCCGTGAGGTTCCTCTGCATGGTTTGTGACTTGTCCTCGGCAATTGCTAATGATATGCCGATTTCTTGGCGTTATGTGACATCATGTCCCCAGACGGCAATGGTTTAACGCCCAGTGAGGCTACACGTACATTGATTTCCCGCACGAATAAACGGGCGTCTTCTTATAAACCCCTGGTCCTTGACCCGGCATAGATGAGGACCCCGATTGTCTCGTCTTGATCGGAGGAGAGACCGTCTTGGTCATGATCGTTCGGTTTTTATCCGACTCTACTCGCATCTGGAAGACATTCCGATCCCGTCCGGTCTTGTTTTCGGTGGTTTCCAAGAGCCGGTTCCCCCACAAAGGCACAAACCCTTGGAAAAGCCCTCCAAGTCTGGGGTCCACTGTGCCCGTGATGATCGATTCGTATAAAGAGGATGGGTAGCCTGTTAGCGAACTTGCGAACGCTCTCTAATGCGTTCCAACTCGAGTGTATGACATAGTTTGTAAAGATGGTGTCCCCTCACAGAGCCCTCTCGTCTCCCAACCTGCTTTTTCTTCTGGCCTTGACCGTGCTAGAGGTGACAGCGGCCTCAGTCGAAGACGCCCTTGCGGCCCTCAGAGTCACCAACGTTCACGCTGTCCGCGGCAACCTCCACCTTCCTGAATCCTCCGAAGGGTTCGCCGTGACTTGGCAGAGCAGCGACCCGCATATCATCTCGGCCGACGGCATCGTCACGCGGCAGCCGAGCATCAACGCCCAAGTTGAACTCGTCGCCTCCATCGAAGACCAAGGGGAGCTGCACGAGCGCCATTCAACGCCTCGATCCTTCCTGCCGTCCAGCTCGACCCCTTCGAAGGGTATGCCTTCTCGTACTTCACCGAAAGCAGCCTGCGCGGGGAGAATATTTTCTTCGCGGCCAGCGTCGGCAACGATGCCCTGGACTGGCAGGAGCTAAACGGTGGCGAGCCCGTCCTCCGCTCCGAGCACGGCACCAGAGGTCTGCGCGACCCATTCCTCATTCGTTCGCCCGAAGGGGACACGTTCTACCTCATCGCGACCGACCTTTCCATCGGCAGCGGGACTTCCTGGGGTGACGCGGTCCGCCGGGGCAGCCACTACCTCGAGGTCTGGGAGTCGCACGACCTGGTAAACTGGTCCGAGCAACGCCACGTACTGGTCTCGCCGTCCAACGCCGGGAACACGTGGGCCCCGGAGGCGTTTTACGTCCCGGAACTCGGCTCCTACGCCGTCTTCTGGGCATCGTCGCTGTACGACCAGGAAAACGACCCGAACCACGACGGCGCGTCGTACCACCGCATGCTCTACTCCCTCACCCGAGACTTCGTCACCTTCGGCGAGCCGCAGATCTGGCAGGATGCCGGCGATTCCCGCATCGACACCACCGTCCTCGAGGCCGACGGCACGCTGTACCGGTTCACCAAGGACGAGGGCGCCGCCACGGGCTGCACGGATATCATCCAAGAGCAGGCCGGCTTCCTGCTCGATCCGCTCGACGCGTGGGCGGTGCAGGGGTCGTGTATAGGCGCCGAGGCCGGCACCAGCGCCGTCGAGGGACCCACGGCCTTCCGTGCCAACCCGGGCGACGTGCACGGCGACAAGTTCTACCTCTTCGTCGATGAGTATGGCGGTCGTGGATACATCCCGCTCGAGACGGACGATATTGGCAGTCCTGACTGGAAGGTTTCGAGCTCGTATAACCTTCCGAGGAGCCCCCGCCATGGTACCGTTATCCCCGTCACGGCGGCCGAACATGCGGCGTTGGTGGAGGCGTTGAACAGCAGGAAGTCGCGTTTCCGCCGCTCCGCGAAGACCTGGGCATGATGTATCGACTATCTAGGAGCGAACTAGGGTAGCAAGCCGCGGATTCTGAGAGCACAGTGGCGCGTAAACAGTTGCGAGACGAGTTCACCGAGGTACTCCGTAAGGGGGGCCGCCGTTTAATAGACGCTTGTCTGCACCTGGTGATCCCTAATACCCTTCCCTATCACGGAGGGACAGACCGAGGCGCTGGACGCCTTAGATTATCTGGGAGAGCGATTCGGCGTGGCCACCAACTTTGAGAAAGGTGACATTCAGTTTGTGAATAACCTGGCCGTGTTCCATGCACGGGATAGGTTCAAAGATAGCGGTGAGAAACAGTATGTCTCCTGCCCTCCCGCCCTCCTGCCCTCTTGTCAGAACGAAAAGAAAAGAACCGACAGTATCCGCGTTATTCCGCGGAACGCCATCCAGTTACTCCTCCCAACCCATATTGGTACTGATATGCCCAGTGTCCTGAACTGTCTGCAAGGGTGTCTGTCGTATGGTGTCATCCAGCAGGAAAGGCTGGCTGGCATGACATCCTTGTCAACTGGAATCTGATAAGAGTACGTAGGTATTCAATGCTTCCGTTTCGAGTGTGTTCTCCGGTGGGCTTATCCCACCGTGGAGTTCTGGAGCCTGAGACCACCTGGGCTGGATACCTGGGCTGAATAAGGTACCTGGGCACTACCTAGGTAAGGTACCTTAGGACAGTGAATCGGCAGTACCGAGTACGCAGGGTACCTAAGGTAAGGCAAGGTACCTTAGGTACGGTAGGAGAATGGACTTCAGCTGTGACTCCTATGAGGAAGGAGTCTTTTCGCCATACCAGCTTACTTATTACTTTCCTAATTGGTGGCATTTGAGCTTGGGCCACAGTGAGGCAGCATGAGCTAACAAAGGCCATGACCCATGATGAAATTCGCAAGGCTTCGACATTGTGGCATCATTAGCCAAGAACACCCGTTTTCTTCTCACCTTGTTCATTCTTTTTCCCAGCTTCCTTTCATAGACCAACTTCTACTGCCCGGGGAGAAATTTCTAGCGTTTCCTCTCCTTCGTCTCGCTTTAAGAGTATATAAGAAATAATTTCGAGGTATAGCAGAATTTACGTCTGGATAGGTAAGGTATAGACCAAGGTATCTTACCAACAAGGCTCGAAATGCTAAATCAATCTCAGAAACTAAGCCACTGTAGCAACAAACCATCCTTTTATCAGGTACGGACAGATAGCTTAACGTGGATGTCATAGGTAGCCAAAGCCAAAGCTTGCGGGCGTCCCCAACTTCCATCGTACAAGGTACCTTATATACACTACGTGTACTACGTGACGGCGAGAGACAGAAACGATCCCCGGCATATCTAAATGTCCCCCGCGCGGAAAGACTTTTGTGGCTGCAGCTTTTCGGGCGCTAGATTAAACTTCACCTCTTGTATTCCTCCGCGACGCATCTCATTGGAGCACAGAACGGTCCAGATAGGATTCGCACACTTGTTAGGTATGTGCCATTCCATTTGCCGTATGATCGCCCGGATGGCGTGCTTGCTTGGCTTCCCGAGCTAGGAAGGTAAATAACAGACTGGAACCACCCTCCCAAGTCGCAAACCTGTCGCAAACCTGTCACCTATCACCTGCCCTGCCCAACTAACTGCCTAAAGGCTGAAGCGGCACTTGAAGGTGAAAGAAAAAGCTTGAGACTCGAGTCCGTTTATTCACCGGGACTCCGGGAGGGATGATTGTGTCATCCTCGATGGAGCCGCGCGAAAGCTCATGGTTGGTCAACCCTTTTTGAGGTGCGGGAGGCGCATTCATATGGTGAAGCTTGAACAAGCCCGCACCCAGCCCACCGTATAGGCGGCGCGTTGTTGTTGGCAGTTGCCTTGCCCCGGACCACCCCCTCTATGATTCCATAGAACAAATAAAATCCCAGTGGTGTGCCCTGGTGCGCCCTGCCACTTTGTCTCACTTCTTTTTTTTTTTTTTACTGAGTACGGAGTGCTGATAGGGGCGAGACTGAGAGATTCGATTCGTTGGCATTCCATCTTCGTGGGAGTCGACCCGAAGAACCCTCCAAACGGGCTTTTGTCGTCACCTAGAGGCGGCTACGAGTCTTTAACGATTGCGACCCGTCAAACAAACTCCGTTTTGCCCTACTGCGTTACAAACGGACATTTCGCACAAAATGGCTCTCGACTGGTTGAAGCCAAAGACCAAGGCCAGCGAAGTCCCCACGGGGAACGACACGGCCTCGGAGAGCGAGTCGGTCATTCGCGAGGGCAAGCTGGCCTACATCCGCTTCCAGAGCGGCAATGAAGCTGGAGCCTCCTACCAGGAAGCCGTCGGTGCGCCCGTCGAGTCCAAATCGCCCCTGGGGTATAACGTCAACTGGATCACCGTCATCTTCCTCAACGTCAACATGATGGTCGGTACCGGTATCTTCTCGACCCGTAAGCTCTCTCCTTCTCAAATTCCCCCGTATCGTGGCAAACGGTCTATAGACAGACCGTCGCAGACGACTTCACTATGTTTCCGCGTGCTGAGCTGACCGGCCTTGTTCTGCCGTTTCCTTCCAGCCGGCAACATTCTTCGCGCCACGGGCTCCGTCGGCCTCGCTCTCATCTACTGGGTGATAGGCTTTCTCATGGCCGTCGCCGGTTTCAGCACCTACCTCGAGCTGACGGCCTACTTCCCCAACCGCAGCGGTGGCGAGGTCGTGTACCTGGAGCAGGCCTATCCTCGACCCAAGCACTTTTTCCCCGTCGCTTTCGCCGTCCAATCCGTCTTGCTCTCTTTTAGCAGCAGTAACGCCGTCGTCCTGTCGCGCTACCTGTGGCGCATCGTCGGCAGGGAGTCGACCGAATGGGAGATGCGTGGTGTGGCCATTGCCGCCTACACCCTGGCCGTGGTCTGTGTCATCGCGCACAATAAGTACTCCCTGTGGGCAACCAACGTAATCGGCGCTCTCAAGCTCACCCTGCTCATCTTCATCTCCATCACCGGCCTCGTCATCCTCGGCGGAAACGTCGACCGCGTGCCCGACCCGCATCGCAACTTCCGCGACGGCTTCCGCGGCACCACCACGGACGGCAATGATTTGGCCAGCGCACTTGTCAGTATCATCTTCGCTTATACTGGCTACTCCAACGCTTTCAACATGGCCAACGAGATCAAGAGGCCGGTCCAAACCATCAAACGTTTCGGCTCCGCGTCCCTTGGCGTCGTTTTTGTTCTGTATTTCCTCTGCAATATCGCCTACTTCTCCGCAGGTGCGTTTGTCGTTTTGACCACCACGTCGATCCCCATCATTTCTGTTGTGGGGGGGCCGGCCGCCGGCCCACTGAGCGCCGACTTGGAGAGAGGACGAATGAAAACTGACTAGCTTCTCCGTGCATAGTGAGCAAGGAAGAATTCGCCGAGTCGGGAGAGATCGCGGCGGCCGTCTTCTTCCGCAGGGCCTTTGGAGAGGGAGCCGCCGAGCAGGCCCTCAACGTCTGCGTGCTTCTCAGCTCTTTCGGCAACCTCCTGGTCGTGCTGATTGGCCAGTCCCGCACCATCCGTGAGATCGGACGACAGGGCGTGCTCCCCTTCACCGAGTTCTGGGTGTCCACTCGACCCTTCGGCACACCTCTGGGCCCGTATTTCCTCAAATGGCTCACGACCTTCATCATGATCTGCGCCCCGCCAGCCGGCGATGCTTTCACCTTCGGTATGTGTATCTTCATGTTCCTGTTCCCCCTTGTATCCGGGCGAGCTTTGATACCCGCCCGTCACTCAACGTCACAGGGGGCTTTTTTTTTTCCTGGCTGACATGTGTGCCTTGTTCACAGTGGTTCAACTTAAAACCTATCCCGACGCCATGTTCTTTGCCGCCATGGTGGCCGGTTTGTACCTCATCCGCCACCGTCGGAAGCGGTCGAATCAGCCCCAGCCTGAGTTCAAGGCCTGGCACGTCGTCGTCATTTTCTTCTTGCTGGTGCAGATCTATACCTTGGTCATGCCGTGGTTCCCGCCCGAGGGTGGTCCGTATGCTGGCGCTGTTAGCTTCTGGTACGCCACATACTGCGTCGTCGGCATTGGAATGTAAGTCTTCCCGATGGGAAACCCCTGTCCCCTTCATCCGAATCTCCTTGTTTGGCCCGCGAAGCTCTAGCCTCTCACAAACTGACATGAGAGGGATTCTTAACGCAGCATGATTCTCTGTGGTATCTACTACGTCTTCTGGATGCACGTGCTTCCCAGGTGGCTAGGTTACCGAATGCGGACTCAAGTCCTCGAGGTTGACGAGGACACGGGAGCCAACACCCACCGCTTAGTCCGTGTCCCGCTCGAGCAACTGGCCGATTGGGATGCCACCCACGACGAGACTGGCCGGCTGAAGCGCAGGAACGTCTCGGGAGGTTCAGACGAGTCTTTGCCGGCTGAGGATAAGGCCGAGACAACAACGACGGCCACTGCCACGGGCAAAGATGTCTAAGAGAGAATGAAACCAGGATGGTCCACCTCCTCGAAGGTGACAACGAAGAAGCTGGGAGGGCCGGGGAACATGGACTCGGACAAGATGACTCCCCTTGCAGCGTCACGTATCGGACTCTCGGTTCCAACCAAGCCTGTTGCGATGGGGTAGCGGTTGCGTGCAATTTTGGTTCTTCTGCCTCTTGTCGACCTGGTTCAATCCCGATATTGCATTGCCTTTGTTGGATGGTCAGAAAATACCCCCTTTTTCAGCACTAAAGAAGATCAATACATGTCGTGCCTTATTGTGCCCTGTCCTAATTGATCGTGATCTTATTCAGCTCCTTCAAGGTTTTCGTACCCATGGGCCATCACCATCTCTGACTTTCATTGAAGCGTTGAAAAGGCGGGAGCATCTCCATCCTTGCGGTGAAATACTGGGTTGGCGTAGTCGGGTGAACGGCGCCACGGGACCATTGTCGGTGTCTCTTGTGTCGAGGATGTTGATGATGTGATGTTGCAACTTGCGCGAGAGAGGAGGGAGGGAAGAACCGCCCGTCGGGAATTACCTTTATTAACCTGATGAAGATTGTCCACTTGGCGTGGACAAGGGTCTGGTTTCAAGGTTACTCCTGCCTTGCCTGTCTTGGCTCAACGGCAGATAGTGCAGGCACTAAACCAAAGACGACTAGTACCTTCTATAGCACGATGCTTCCCCTGAATTTCGTTCCAACGCGGTGGAGTATATCAGATAAAGCGTAGTCAAAATCGTCACAAAATAGGTCAAAAATTAATTAAGGCAATTATATGCAATTATAACTATCTTAGACCGTCAGGGAAACGCTACTACCGTATTTTATATAGTGTAGATTCTATAAGCGTTTACCCGGATTATACTCTTAGTAATCCGGCCTATTACGTAACCGAAAAGACTATAGTCTATTCGAGATACCCCCTAATCGCCCTAAACGTTAGTTAGGCGATTAAAGCTATTCGTAATCGGCAGATAATCCAGCTATATAATCTATTCGCTATAGCCGCCCTTAAATTTATCCTCTAGGTCCTCTAAATATTCTATCCGGACTTCTTTTAGCTATTTCTGCTATAACCGTTCCCGTATATCTATCACGCCTACCTAGGACCTAAATATCTTAAATTTCTCGCTGTATAACGCCTTCGTTAATCCGTCTACCACTATTTCCGTGCTCGTAACGTACGTTACAAGTATTTACCCTTATTCCTTTACTTAACGTAACTAATAGCCGTGGATATCGATATAGCAGAGGCGCGTTATTAACGTGCTAATCTCTTAATTAACTAATCGAATCGTTTAGTTATTATCGTATAAGATCCTTAATTTCGGATTATTAAATTCTACTCCTATACTAAGTAATAGGCGTTATATAAAGATACTCTTTTTTACACCTTATACTAACACTAATAGCTCTGCTTCCGTTATAGACGTTATAACCGTATCCTGCTTATTAGCGTGCCACGCTATTATACCGCTAAATAAGCGTATTATATACGCTTAACTACTTTTTCGATTAAGGGTATTATCGGGAAATAAGGCGTTAGTGTAGATTTCGATAGTATCGCTACCCCTTAGTTCTAATATAAACGATTAGCTATTAATTAGATAAAGGATTAGAATAAAGAATTAGATAATCGGCGGCCTTATAGTGAATAGGCCCTAGATTAATGTTAAACCGGTATAGCCTAGATACTATAAACGCGATATTAGGCCGCGATATCACTACTATATATAGTATAGATCCTATCTTCCGTTAATAGCTTTTAACATTAGTCGAGGTTCCTAAATAGAGTAGTAGCTTTATAACCTTAATTAGGTGCGTTAGGCGATAGTTACTACTATACTTACTATTCGGCTTTAATAGGCGTTCTAACTTAGTAATATAGTCGCGTTATAATAGCTAGATTTTACGGGCGACGCGGTCGCAAATAACCTTAATACTAAGGAACTATTATAAAGGATCGCTACTTTATAGGTTATAGTAGTGTTATAGGTTATTAACGGCCTACTCTATCTACGCCTTATATTATTCCTTATAAGTAATAACGATATCGTTAACGTAGAAGAATAGGATTAAACCGCGGCGTAGAAAATAACACGGTTTTTACAGCATTATCTAGAAGCCGTCCGCTAAAAGGATAGTCGAAAAGTGCTTTTACTAAAGCAGTAAAGACTCCTTAAGTCTATATAACGCTTTTTTTAGGTGTAAACGACTCCTAAGGGCTAAAAAGCCTAGCGGCGGGTATATAAAGATATTATAGGGGAGGGGCGCGTATATAGACGCGTTTATAATATTAAATTATAATAGCATAAGGTTAAATCGGGCGGTAATAGCTATTAACGCGCGGAATAACTATCCGGCTAGTATTACTACGTATATCTTCTTAAGCGAGGATTAATACTACTAATCTCCTTATACTATAAGCCTTACCTTATAGTTATATAGAAATCAATACTTATCGAACTTATATATTATTACCTATATCGAATTAAGAACCTGATATCTATCTGCTACGGATACTAGTACCCGTATCCACGACCCTATCTCCTTATAGCTCCGTAGGTAGTCTTCTTATGCCTATCGGAATTGGTGGCCATAAGGGTGCGAGGGTATATCGCGAGGGTTTTTCGGAGGAGGAGGGAGCTATTTATAGTGGATCTTTACGGCCGCCGGGGTAACCGCCGGAGTACCCGCCGAAGTAACCGCCGGAGTTATATTTCCTAGAATAGCCTCCCGGGATATACTTCCGATGGCTACCGCTAGGGCCGTAGATTTATAGGGTATTATTAAGCGTCGCTATAACACTATAGACGTAGACCTTTTTAACCGTAATTTAGTTAGTGGAGTCCTATTTAATATATATATATTAGGGGCGTAGCGGCTAGCGTTAAATATAATAACCTAATAGTCTCTTTTCTAGCTATCTCTTTACCGAATTAGTTATACTCCTTTATTTAATAGGAGCCTTATAGCTATAGCTATAGGGATATCGTAGTACCGTGTTCCGTTATCCTAAAACCCTATAGCTATAGGGGTATTACGGTTTCCTAATATAACGGCTACTATTAGCGCTATAACCGATAACGGGGTTACTAATAGAGTAGGAAGTAGTGGATTAGGCGGATATAGACGGTAATTAAGCGTTATACCGGCTAAATTATACTATTTATAACCTAAATCTTATCCTGATTAACTTAAGATAGCCTCCTCTACCCCTTTACGGCCAGGTATTATGGACTATAACCTTAACGGTAAAGCCGTCGAGGAAGGGGATCCGGGGGCGTTTATCCCCGGATCTAATAATTCAAAATAAGTAGTTATATAAAAGGGGGGGTCCTTAGCTTATACGTCTATAAACGGCCGTGAATCTCTAGCCCTCTCCCACTCGATCTAACTAATTAGGTCTTCTAATTACTCCTCGGTTAATTAACGGAGGTCGTCCTTAAAGGTAGCGATATCGCCGTTAAAGAAGGCGTATTCGTTAAAATCTATATCGCGCGTTCGAATAACGCGGTTATAGCGGCGTAGACTAGGCACCTAAATACAGAAAATATTAGTGGAATCGTAGCCGATAAGGTAGCCGATATAGGCGCGGGGAGCGATACGGTTTAATAGCTTATTCACGCCCTTTTAGGCGTCCTTTATTATCGCGTACGCCTTATAGCCGTAAGCTTAAAGATATAATAAAATCGGCTTCCTTTTAAAGAGGACCTCGTATAGTATTTTCTAATACTTATTATTATACTGCCTTTATAGCGTCCGGTTATAGACGTACGCTACCGTGGGAATAGCCTTAGGCTATATAAACGGCGGTAGTTTTACGTGGATATTTATTGCACGACCCTTTAAAATAACCACGGTAGTAGCGCGTTTAGCACCCCCGTTCTATACTTAAGTATCGGTAGCAGATACCTTTAAAAGGATACCCTTATTACGTAGGAATTAGGTGATATTATAGAATTAAGTTAGCTTATTATTAGATTCGAAAACGCGCACCTTATAGCCTAATTAGCGATCTACCTAGGCGAGGAATTCCTTAATTATTACGAGGATACCCACTACTAGCTTACTTTTTATAATATAGGTGGCCGTAAAACCACTATAACGGTCGGTGAAAAATATAAACCTTAAGTCCCTATCGGATATTCGTTTAAAGTCCGTGAAATTAATCGCCTATCACTCCCCTGCGTTAGTAGGTGTAGTGCGAGGGCGCCTACTAATATACCGTTTTATCTTTATAAGCTTATAGGCCTCGTAGTCGATAGTTATTAGTCCCTTAATTTTAACCCCCTACGTCTACTCTTTTAGGTGCCGAAGTAGTTTAGGGCCTATATACCCTAGGCGTAGATACTATAAGATACCCTCCATAGTACTTAGATAGCGTATCGTCGATTTATAGATAGCTTTTCGGATGGAAGAAGAGCCTAGAAAAGCAGCCGTAGATTAGTTAGAGGGCACGTATTTAATAACGGTTTAATCGAAACGGTGACTTAGCTAGTATAGTATAGATCTATCGGAACGCCGAATATAGTTATTTAGTAGCTTCTAATCCTACTAGTATTAATATGCCTGACCGGCAAATCCCCTGGCCAGCCAGTACTATAGGACCTATAAGCCAGCCTTTTCTCGAGGGGTAACCTTTACTGTAAAATATAAGGTGTAATAAAGATGTCTTCTCTAAGCTAAGGGGGCGCGCTCCTAGGACTTAAGTATTCCACGGGTAAACCCCGTAGAATCCTCGGATCCTATATATAGGAACCCGAGTATAACCTAGGGAAGCTATAGTGTATACTAAAGGTACTTATAGTATACCCCGTGAGTGCTATAGCTTATACTATAGTACGCCCGTGGTACGCTTATAGTACGTCCTAGCGTTCCCGGTAGAATCTAGGGCGTATTAAATACCCCGGGCGACGAAGTCCTATATCCCGCGGGCTTTCCCCGGTAACTACGATAGCCTTACTTAAGGCGCGTAGCGGTTATACTA